TCTATCTATCTATCTATCTATCTATCTATCTATCTATCTATCTATCTGCCTTCTTCAGTTACGGGCAATGGAGCAGCAACATCAACGTGGGCTGAAGCCAAAGACCTCCTTCACCCTCTGGGGCCCATGTCACATGTAATCACTGTAACATATAAGGAAACACACACATGCTCACGCACACAGCAACACACACATGCTCACACACGCTGTTAGTCTGTCCCAGCACTAAACCGAGCTCAGCTCGGGGAGTAAATATTTGTGCTGCGCAAGCTCGAGACAGAGGAAGGTTCCTCACCTCAGCAGTGTGCCACCAAATCATGAAATATTCAGAGAGAGGAGGATGGGAGCAGTGGAGAAAAACGAGAGAGTGAGAGGAGAGAGGAGAGAAAGAAAGAGGTCACGTATAACGGTGCAAGATGGACGGTCGGGATAAGTGAGTGGGTAGTTGCCTGTTCTGTTAAACAGCCGATGATATGAGAGGAAGGAAGAGGTTGTTTGTGGCGAGACGGTGGAAAAGAGCAAAGGAGCTGGTTGAAGTAATGAACGATAGTAAATGCAAATGGGGCCGGTAAAGATTTAGACCAACAGCAGCGAAGTGTGCTGTCATACAAGAGAGGACGTGTAGCGGCAAATGGACAGCAGGAAATAATGTTCTCTAGCATTTAATGGTCCCAATCAGTCAGCAGGTGAATAGTGATAATCCCCATCCAGGACTTAATGAGGGGTTATCCTGTCTCAGGTCATTCTATCCTGGGATCTTGAAAGACTTCTCACTGTTGAAGCCGATTCTCCTCGCAGCCACTCTGCTTACTCTGTGACTTTCAGCTGGCGCAATCCTGTTTTTTTTTTCACTTACTTCACTAGCAAATTGAAGAAAATTTTAGATACCGAGCATGTTTTCATCATTCTTCATGTCCAGGCAATGTATTAGTTTTTATTATTGTATGTGTAGACTGCCTGGGGAGCGTACCCCAGTATATCCATCATAGCTCATTGTTTAAACACTAGAATTCAAAGGCATTAGAGCCATTCCTGAACTGTTCTGAAAGTATCGGCCTGCCATGCACAATGTTCACGGGGTTTCTATTTCTTTCTAAAACTGTCTAACTTCTGAGCCTCAGTAGAATGTATTAAAGTATCATCAAAAAGAAAAAGTAAAGAAATGCTGCTGATGCAGTGCATTGCAAAAATCAACCTCCTCTCTCAACAGCGCCTCAGCAGGAATTCAGAATCATAGCTTTCCTTGTTTATATCCCTTCCAAAATGATTTACACTCCCAACGATGCATGATTTAGCTCTGATCTATACATTTTGAAGACACTTGCAGAAAAAACACAAGCCAATCAATCATATCACAGGTGATGTAACTGTTTTTCTGAAGAAATGTAATTATCTTTCTTTCTCACACACGTCACCACTGATGACAGTTATATGTGAGAATCAAAGGCTTACATAAGCCAGAACCGTCTCTCAAGAAAATGTATATTTGCCAATATGTTCAGAGGAAATACATATCCTTTCTGGCATGATGACAACCTGTAACCATGGAGTTGTTAATACCCAGCAGTTTTATCTCAAACACCTCCCTTGTAGCTTTAAAACATGCTCACATTTGGAGTGATGTAATTCGATCCATCAAATCGTCATATTTGATTTATAAAGAATGTTTTACAAGATGTCATACATGTTTCTCCCGCCATGCAGAACATAGACCTGTAATCATGTTCTATTTGACAAAGTATAAGCTTTGTCTCATGGGAACATGAATACATTGCAGTGATGAGAAGAGAGCTTCACATGCAGAATTACTTTTCCAGACTTGCTTTTCTAAAATAAATATTTTATGTTTTGAGTCTAAATTTCTAATTCAACAGAAAAAGGCGAACACATAAAAGGAAGTGTATAAAAATATATCCTGCCGGGTGAAGTCTAAAAATCTGTGGTGTGCTTTTTATGGACATGTGAATATACATTCACTGTAGTCCATTATTTCTGAACCCTGGTCCACAGAGGGCACTGCCCCGGCATGTTTTACATGTTTCCCTGCCTCAACTATCCTGGCTAAAATTGATGGGCCATTAAAAAGGCTTGGACAGAGCGGGAAGACATGCTGTTGATAAGAGCTCTTTTATTCGAATCAGGTGTGTCAGAGCAGGGAAACATCTAAAACATCCTGGGCTGTGCCCGCTAAGGACCAGAGTTTTAGAACACTGAAGCAGAATAACCACAAAAACTAGTTTGGAGCCAGTGTTTGTGTTGTCCTATGTCTGCCTACTGCGGTGCAACATTAACAATTAAATAAAAAAAGTCAGCAAAAAAGTTACCGTGCATGTATTTTTTTCTTTTATGAGAAGTGAGGTCAGATTGTCTCTAAAATAATTTGGGTAAATCTCTTTTTGAAAAAGTTTCTGTATGTCATGGACATTAAAATTAGACACAGAGGTGATATTTCAGGTACACAATAATTAACCCCGCCCAATTTAAAGGACCTGACCAAGTTTCTAAATGTATTCTTTTTTGCATAAGTGTTTCTGGGACAAATGGACTTGCCCCCTTTGCTTGTTGAGCAAAAATAGAATCACAAAAAATATGGGGTGGGGGCAGTAATGCTCTTTCCCCTCTGCAGGAAATAAATGGCTTGCTATTGACCATGATAATCAATAGCCTCATGCCTGGAGGCTTTCAAACTGCAGTTAAAATGGAGAGTACAACAGAGGAAAAGATAAAACTGAAAAAATCTATTAATTAAACTCAGGGGCTTGTGGTTAATTCCAAATCTATTTTTACTCTCTGAATTTATGAGATCATCTAATTTAAAGTAAAGTTTTGCCCTGCTAATGTCCAGTGAGAAAGATCTCTTGAAATTGAATAGGGCGAAACCAAAATTATGCTGTCCTAAATCTATAACCATGATGCTGAAACATGTTCTGTTACACTTTTTAAGAGCAGAGATTTTCTAAATGAAAAGAATTCCTCAAAGAGTTGTGCAAAGTATTTAACTGAAATTACCATCCTCATTGGAATTAGTGAAAAAAAAGTCTCCTAATATAACTGGAAATGACAATCTCAGTTAAAGGTGAATGCAGACCCAGACACAAAACCCAGAAATCAATGAAATGAGAAGCTTCGGACAAAAGGGTTCCTGCTTCGCTTCTATTTTCTCCACGACCCAGGTCAGCCCTGATTAGCAGCTTTGAAAAGATATTAGGCTGACTTTTAGGAAATGCCTGGCCAATTAACAGTTACATTTTATTGCTGACAGTTTCCCTGGTTGTACCCACTCATTTCTTCTCAGATCTTGGGTTTTGCAGTCATTATGTCATTATGATTACCTGGAATGTTTTTATTCCCCTCACAGTAGCACAAAATACATCGACAATATTTCTACACGAATCACATGCTGACTTTTGTTACTTTTTTGCAGTATTTTCATGCAATCAAATCCTCAGTCTAACAGCCAAACGGCTAAATAGGCAGAGTCACTATCACCTGTGAGTAGTCTTATCCTTTAACAGTTAAGCTGTAACTCTGGAGTCCAAAAGGTCAATGTATCTCCTCCCTGACTGCAGATCCCAGTGGACTCCTATTAACAGTCACCTCCACCATTGTGAAGCGCACAGGTCATCAGTCAGGATGGGCAAAAGTGTTTGAAGTGAGGATAAAAGTCTTTGTTTTTGGATCTGCCCTACCCAAAGCCAAGCAAAAGTGTTGAGTGGGTTCTTTTCTAATGAGCAGACACCCACAGTGGCGTGTGTGTATGTGTCTGTGTGTGTGTGTGCGTAAAAAAAAACTGTCTGTCTGCCCTCCTTCCTCCCTTGCCACCATAAATAGAAACTACCCCAGACACATTACTATTCCTCCAACATAATCCAATGCAGGCAAAAGCCACCGCGCGGACTTGATCCAGCAGTCTAATAATGGCTTCATATTTCCCTTCATCAACGTCCGTGGAATATCGATAACACGACGGATGCGCGCACTTTCCGTCTAATGGAAAACAACGAACTCTGCATGGTGAAAAGTGAGAATTGAGGTGAAATCTCGCAAAGGACAAGTTTTTTTTTTTTTTTTTGCAAGCGTGGACTTTGGCTTGAACATTTAAGCTTGTGGTGTAAAACACCAGCACTCAGGCTGCGCAGGAGCATCCCCCCCTCAGCTTGGGAGGAGAGGGGGAGACTCACGCATTGATACGGAGGCGCAGCGAGGGATGCGCCGGCTCAAAGTGAGGCGGAAAGTCCGATATGTTTCCATCTCCATCTTTTTTCCTCACCTTTTTGGAATAAAACCCTTAAACGACAAATAGATTTTTTCTTATCTCAGATATTCTTTGACGAGCTGTGCTTCAGGGCACTTACTTTCCGGCGTCGACCTGTAATCTTTTTGAGATCTTGATATTTTTTCTCCCTCCCCGCCGTTTTATTAATGTAGAATCTCTTTCATTCTTATTGCAGCACAAGTGATATCTGTTTTCTCTCTAATCTATAACTCTCTTAAATGTATTTCTTGGGGTAGAGGTTGATGAAGCTTGGCTCAAAAGGGGGAAAAAGCTTTTAAAATTTTTGAAAAAAGAAAGACAAGAACTCCTGTGGATTTGACTGTGACCCCCCCAGCGTCTGGATGCTGAGAAGAATCCACTTTCCTTTCCAATGAAACATTCTTGCATTCTCATTTTGTGGATCTATTCAGGACTCAGCGCAGCCTTTTAGTTTGTATCGCACTTATTTCTGAGATCCACGATGTGCTCCGTCGGGAAATACTGCGTGTTTTTGCTCCTGCTTAAAAGTATCCTGTCGGACTCGGGAACACAGAACCAAGGTGAGTGCGGCCATCACAGTTAAGTGCAAGGGTGGAAGAATCAAATCATGTATTTTCACAGAACTGAACGGTAGAATCACCCTGACTTGCTCTGTACAGAATATATCACCCTCACTCTGCCTTGGATTTCTCAGAAGTAATCTCCAGTTTGTTGCCTGGAAGGAACTGTCAAACCTCAAAATCAAATGCAAACATACATTATGCAGGAATTATCTAGTGCATTAACGATATGCTGAATGCTGACAAATGGTTTGAACCAAATGTGTTAAGTATTAAGCAAGTACTTTATTTTTTAAATTGAGTTACTGATGTAAAACAGATAAAATATACAAAAGAATATCCATCAGCTAAATTCTGAAGTGAATCACCTTCATCTAAGTGCACATAAACAAGTGTACAGCTATAGGGACCATGTAATGTTACTGCAAATGTCAGCCTCTGGCAAACTGTCAACTGAGGCTGTTTTTGCTGCTTCTTTCTTCCTCCGGTTTCCTAACATGAGCTTATATGTTCTTGTGTGAAAACATAACAGGTTTTGGGTTGTTTTCATGTCAGAGGGTCTCCTCACAGACACATACCTGGAAAACGTGAAATTATTCTGGGATTCCCCTGGTTGGGACGCTATTTTTCTGAATAATTTCTAATTTGTCAGAAGCTTTCTCCACTCACATGGAGGACGTGTCCAGCTGTATATGTATGAGAAAACAGGCATAGTCATGTTATCTTTTTCAGCTGTATAATGTTATATGAGGGAAAAGTTGCCGTTATGTAATCTGTTTTTGACGTCTTCAACTTTGCAAAATTTGGAGAGATGAGTTTACTGACCCTCCCTGTATATCTAATGTTTATGATACACATTCTCAAACCAGACAGCAGCCCTTTTCCTGGCCAAATGTCAAAATCTCCCACACTTTGGTTTCCTGTGTGTCTTGTGTGTGTACATGTGTGTGTTTTCCCTCCAGGATATCTGTCTGCCTGTGATGGTGACAGGCTTGAAGAGGAGGGGGTGCACACAGGGGAAACTTGAAGAAATGACAGCGTGAAAGTGTTTAGAATAAATACAGAGCAAGCCAATAGATTTATTCAGGTAGTTCATGAATAAAGCCTGGTAGTTATTAGAGAAAGTGAGTAGGGTTGACATTTTGTGCTATTTATTCCTTATTTGGCACTTGGAGGTCAATATAATTTTAAGTTATTTTGTTGGAGAATAAATTAATGTTGAAAATTCTGCAGTGCTTTTCATAATGATGATACTTTTCAACATTATGCGGTTTACTGTCAGGGCGTAAGCCTCTACGATTTCAATATCTTATAAATGGACCACTCTCTTGTGTGTGTACAATCATAGTGCTTTTTTTAATGGACAAAAGCTGCATGGCCCATTTGCATTCTCATTAAAATACATGGGGACAAAGTGGCTGCTCTGTTTTTGCACTAAAGTGACAGGTAAATTTGATAAACAGTATGCATCTGAAGTAGATCTGAGTTTAAGTTTTAGCTCATGTAATCCCATTGAGATATTAAGCAATGTTTCTGCATTATCCTGCAAATAATCAGCTACAAATATCTGCTGTCAGGGGGAATTCAATATCAGTGGTTTGAATATATCAGTGCTTCAAGCAGTTGTGATAAACATGAGTATCTGGTTTTAAAATAATAGTTCTATAAGAGCATAGCACTCCTGGATATTAATATTTATGGAACAATTGTCATTTTGATCTCCTCAACAGTGCATTTCAGTATTACGTTGGAGGAGATGATTGTGTATGATGACAAACATGGACACTGATGCAGTCTTTTTCCTATTCAGGATGAAGACTGCACAATATTAGGAGTTATGATAGACAAAATCCCAGCTCAAGTTGTCCTTAACTAAATGAATATGACACAACACCACAATAAAGCCAGTGAACCGTGCGGAAGCGTGAATCAAACTTTATTAATCAGATGACAATTGGATTTCATCCACACAAGAAATACTTTAGAAACATTCAATTTAAACGAACATCTCCAGTAAGAGAAGTCTTGTGTTATGGACAAAGAAACTTGAGTGTGTATAGGAGCCACACATCGTAATGACATGCCACTCGGGCCATCAGTCTGCCATCGAGTTTACGGCATGAAGAAGTCACAGGCATTTCAGGTTCTTCTGTAAGGCCAGTTTGGTCACTTGTCAATAGAGTCCAGTCCAACGCAATGAGAAAATACTGCAGCTTCTTTAAAAAAGGTCTAAAATGGATTTGTTAAATTAAAAATCAAGTTTAGCTTTTTTTCCCCACAAAACCTGAAAGTAAAAAATGGTGTGCTTAAACATAAACAAATCTCAATTTCGGAAACAGATTTTAATTATATATCACAAAATATTCTCTTAATGTTCGTGCGGTATACATGTGTGTTTAGTAATACTAGACATATCAGAGTTCAGAAGCATTTGTGTCCATAGGAATTGTTCAGTATTTATCAGAGCTGTTTTTTTTCTTATTGAATCACAGGATAAGCTGTAGAAAGGCAACGATGTTACTTACATAAGATATACACAAGTTTTTTTACAAAGACAAGAATGGAAATCAGCTAGTGGCTCTGTCCCGGCGGAAACATTTGATCATGCTGTGATAAAGACACAAAATCTTTCTTTTAAACAGACAAATGTTAAGCCGACACTTTCGAAAGTCAACATGTCTGCATAGGTAATGGAAAGTAGAGCAAGAAGGAGTGCAAGAATGAGCCAGGATGCAAATTAAACCATTACCTGTTTATCAGTATTTTACGTGTTTCTGAGGAGTAAATTTAAGATCATAGTATGGTCATCACCCAACAGCAGGGGTGGCAGGGTGGCAGGGGTGCTTGAATTAAAATTGCCCATCTAAACTAAAAAGTGGTCCACTTCAAATGTGCATTAGTGTTTCACTTTCTTGCTTTGGATTAGTGCTCAGCCCAATGACTTTAATATTAGGCAGACTTCCTAGAGTGAAACCATTTCTCCTGTGTAGCTGGAGGTGTCCTCTACACGTTTTTACAGATGCTGTCGTTATATAAATGACTGGCATGAATACCGTCACGAATAACTGTGACCAAATAATGGCCAAAGGAGAGATGAAAGGAGTGAATAATATATGCTTTGTTCGGAAACCAGAAAATATCCTGTTGATCAATTAGTTTTTCTAATTGATGTAATCTTCATTGCGCTGCTGTGAATTAAACGTAGAGCCTGACATTCCTGAGACCATGTAGGAGTCTCAGGTCCATGCAGTAGTAACATTCAAATCTGTCCTTTTAAAACAAGGAGTCTGCATCATCTCTGTTATGGATCAGTTGAATTAGGTGCTGCTGTCCACTTTTATTATCATCTCATATAGAAAATGATAATTCTTTATCCCTTCCCGGTGGCTTTCTGAACCCATGTATCTGGGAAACTGCAAAGATAAAAAAAAGGATGTCTTGCTCTCTCTTGGAGATTTCGACCGAGTGCTTCACTCAAATATTCTCAACCAAATGCTAATTGAGGCTTCTGACATTATTTCTAGTTTTTTCTGTCTGTCACTGACTCAGAAATAATGTACAACTCTAAAACAAAAATACTCCAAAAGTATTATGTTCAACTGAATTTGGACTTTTACAACATCTGAAAAGGTAAATATTGCACAAAGTGCACCTTCCTTTTAGTGTCTTAATATTTTGCTTTTAAGGAGACGCAGATAATTATGAAGAACGTGAAGTCGCAATTCTATAATAAGCACCCAATGTGAGATAAATTAATTCCGACCGATGTCTTTATTTTATTGTGTAAAGTTGTTTTGTCTGAGGTATAAGTCTCAGACTGCTGATACTCCAAATCAGAGGAGTATTTTCTGTGAGAAGCTTCAAAGGCCAGCTGCTGCATATCAAAGTTAGGGAAAAAGCTCAATTAAGTTGAATGAACAAGCAATTAAACGCAAAGCGTTAAATCGCTTCCTGACATGTCCTCTATAATTGATAAAACAGTAGAAGGCCCTAATAAGAATAATAAGAGAATAAGAAATGTATGCATCTGGGCGTTTTCTCTCCATATATCTGTTTAACTTTAACCAAATAAGACAGCGTCTCATTTAAGTACTGATACTGGAGAGAAAAAAACAACAGCTTTTGTCTTGTTTTTAAAGTTTTTTAACCTATCGCAGTTGTTTATGGCGTCGCTCGGCCCATAAAACAAGCTTGTCTTATTACTGCTAACGTAACTATTATTGTTTTTTTTTTAAAGGGGGATTTTCAAAATAGTATCGTACAATTTGTTGAAAAGAATGAAGACATCAATGTGAAATGCATAGATAATGGTAACCTTATCCCAATTTTACGAATCTATTGAGAAAGACTTTTGTTAATTTAACATCCGATTCACAGTTTGTTTGGTCTCACACAGAACCTCTCACTAAACACTTTTTGTGAGCGGCACTGAGTTTTTTGTAGTAGTACTTTACTGCTATGTACAGTGGGTCATTTGTGCCACCTCCTTATCCGAGATGGAACACTTTCCCGTTTGCAGCCAGACTGGAATACGCAGAGTATTATGCTTCCAGTCAAAAATGGTCAGACGAAAGTAATGTGATTTGGCCCATTAAAAATGTGGGTTGGTGTGTGCGCATGTGTCCTGAGTGAGAAAATCCGCGTATCAGATTCACCACTGTAGTCTCGAGCCATGGTTTCCTGGCTCCAAAGATATTTGCAGAATTAAATTATTTCATGGCTATATTGCCATGTGTGTGTCTGCGTGTGTGGCTTTGTGCGCGTGCTGAAGACAGACAGACAATCGGTAAAGGGAGCAAGTGGAAAAGTTTGCTGTCAAACATGCCATGGAACATTGCGCCTGATTATGAAAGATTGTTCTAATTTTGTCAGAAATCAATATCATTCTGTCTCTTGGTCTGTCTTTCACTGCCCACATTTCTTTGTGTCCTCCTTTTAAACAGAGGCAAGGCAATCTTATTATAATGCGGTCCTTAATTACCGGCTGAGAATCCAGGCCAAATGAAGTCTTTGTAAATACTAAAGTGGTTAATTTAGTCTCTCTCAAAGTGTATCTTCTCTGGTCATCTACCTTGTTCTCAAAACAGACTCATACTCATAAAATAAATCCAGATTTGGCCAAGTCTTCAGTACACATGATTTGCAGGTCGTCTGAAGATGTGACTCTTTGGTCCATAATGCCGACCATTGAAGTGGGACATGCTTTATTGATAGAGATTGTAATTAACTGGCTGCGTGAAGACAAAGGAAATTGCACATTCATCACATCAAATTGGCTCAGGGGGGCTTAGCATGGGCCAGATAATGGCTCTCTCCATGCCTGAGCCGTGACCAGAGTGCAGACAGTCACAGATTGTTACACTGGTATTTACATAATGCAGTTTTATATTCATAAAAATAAACAGTGGTTATATGCTCATGTAAACACATCAACAGACACTAACGACTGAGATCAGAGTTCCCTATGCTCTTGTCTTTTGGAATGATCAATGTGTCAGATTAGCTTTGAGAGCCATAAATTCTCAGGAAAACCAAATATCTGATCTTTAAAGTGGATTATGATTCCACCCCGAAGGACCTGCTAATTGTTTTGTCTGTCATCATAACTTCATGAAGAGAGGAAACCATGCAGTGTATGTTATGAAGTTTTTAGTAAGACTGAGGTTCTTTTTTTTGCCTCCCACAGGCCTTATGACTGTTTCATACACATTGAAAAATGCAGAAACAGATCCTTGGCCACCAGCATAATCTGTGTATACTTTTCCCCTAAAGTTTATCTTTTTTTTTTTTTTACCAAGAAAGATTTGTCTCTTTATCCTGTGTCCTTTACAGTGTTTTAAATCAGATTCAACAATTATCATTCACTCTCAGGTTACTTTTAGGCTACTTTCAATGCTCCAACATCCTCATCTATGCATTTCATCGGAGAGTGGAAGGAGTTTAAAAACTGTTTTTTTTCCTTCATTTTTCTAACGAACACTTTGAACACCTGTTCATACATTTTGGATAAATTACCTAGGACTTATTGCACTCACTGAATGGCGATATCCTCCTCAACTGGTTGGATTTTGTCTATCTTGATGGCATTCAGATTTTCTCACAACACCCTGCCGATCATATTAACCGTGCTTGTCCATTAGGAGACTGCTTTTTTTTATCAAGGCAATATTCATCATCATTTGATTGTGGCAGTTTTGTTCTCTTTGCTCCAACCAGCCGAAACAACAAACAGAATCTTTGTTAGGTGATGAGGAGATAAGCACCTTATGTAGATTACTACAGGAGGGATCCAGATAAACCAAACGACAAACACTGAGTTAGGCACAAAACACAGGTGGGAATAGAAAGAAAAACACCACAGGAATTGTCCAAACATAATAATAATAATTTTTTTAGAAATGGTCAGAAACCACACAATACCAGAACAAACTGTACAGAAGTTCACACCCAGAGGTGCAATCCATTAAAATATGACTTCCTTTCATTTTGTTCATTCATTGTTCATTTGCTGATTCTGATTACAAACATCAAGGGACAGATGGTTGGTAAAAATCTGATCATGCAAGTTGTGATGAAGTTGAGCAGCACTGAAATCCGAATGCTCAATATTTTCCACTGCAAGTGCTTTGGATGCTTTTCGAAATGCAAATCATGTTGTGACAAAACGGTCTGTGCTTACATCCCATTAAAGATGGAGCCTGATTGTTTTGAGCTAAGTTAGGGATTTCAACAGGAAAGAAAATAACGTCAAAGTGAAATTGTTTTTTTTTTTCTCACTCTCGCCCTCATGTTCGTCCCAACACAGGTCACTAAAAATCACTCTGAGATGAGAGAACATGATATTCTAAAAAGTCTTTAGAATAGTTTAGCTTTTCAATTAGCTCTCATATAAAACGTGCCCATGTCGTGATTGTTCATGCAGGCAGACAACAACGTGTAGACGATCATGCACACTTTTATGGACGTGAGCAGTTCTGCAAACGAAGGATAAAAATTAAGTTTCTGGTGGCAATTCTGTGGCTTTTTAGTGTCAGTCCTCCACGGGACGTCTTCATGAGCTCTACTGAGTAGCATTATCAAACGACATTAATGAGAGAAAAAGCATGTGTTTAAGCATTTTTCTTTAGAGTTAATCCGGTAAACAAAGGAGGAGTAAGAACAGCAGGGACGATTAGTGGGTTCAGGGCTCAACTCTCTGTGTGAATTGTCTGTGCTCTGACTGAAGGTTCAGTTTTGGCATGCTATCCACAGAGATATTCGAGATACAAAATTAACTGTAGGCATAAATGCACACTCCTCTCTGCCCTCGCAGCCACCATTCATACACATGCAGTGTCTCCCAAGATTACTTGAGGTTGCATATTCCAAAGATGCCTCTATAGGTCGATGACTCATGGGTACATTTTGAAGGGGGCAGGTATAGATTTAGTAATGATAATTAATAGGACGGTGTTGTTCATTTCCATGTAACAACTTCATTCCTGTTCCAGGACAGTGTACATTAAGTTTTTTTTGTGAGGAAGTCCTGGCTCTGCTGCCCTAAATTATTTCACTCTGTGAGCCAGGTTTTTCTCTATGTGGTACAGAGAGAAAAACCATTATGGTTCAGAATTTTGTTAGTTCAGATGAGGTCTGAACACAATGGTGCCATTTTCAGTAATCAGTGCAAAGCTGAATGAAACACCACTGTTATTTTTCTCAGACCTTTGGAAAGTAATCATAAGACATTTGGATACGTGCCATTGTCTGCTGGTATCATTGAAATGGCAAAGGTTGAATGCTAGTCTTTGACATCTTGTTTCTTTAGAATTCATTACTTCATCTATAATCTCCACACTTTTTAAATGCCTTCTTATTACTGCAATAATTAAAACCTTGCTGAAATTTGAAGGGTTCAGAGAAGTTTGATGTGGGTGTAATTTGCAGTGAAACTGGGCTGTGTAGTCGACTTTCAAACTCCACGAGTTAACTAAATGCAATTATATGATGCGTCTGCCATTATTAAAAAAAGCTGGTATATTGCACTCCTTTTATTTTCAATTCACACACTTAATTATATTTTCCCTTGCTAAGAAAATTGTCATGCCAGTTCAATAACAATTCCTAAAACGTCTTCTTTTCTCTCTGTAACTCTTGGGCTTATCTTTGGTATGTTATTACAAATAAAAAAATAAAAAAAAATAAAAAACTCTGACCTTTGGAAAGAAGAATATTAATTCTCCATACTTTTTCTAGATGGAGTCTGGATCTGAGTTTGTGATGGTGTTGTCTTGGTCTTTCCTGAGGGCTGTTATTTCATAGGTGGTTGAATCTGATGAAGGCTTTAGAGCTCTGGAAGCCTCTCATTGACAACTTGATAACTGTTGTGTGTTTTCTTCCTGTTTTATCACCTCCATTTAAATTCTTTTAAAATTTACTCTCTAACATCTCTCGCACTTGCTCTGTTCCCTTTTTTCCCTTCTCCTGTCATTCTTTCTTGCTTGCGCTATTCTTCTTTTGCTTTTCCACCTTTACCCCCTCCATTTTCCATGACTTTCTTTTTCACCACCATGATCTTTAGTGGTTCTGTTGGACACCACAACAGTGCTAGGAGAACTGGACTGGAAGACCTATCCTGTCAACGGGGTGAGTGGCATCAGCATTTCACTAAGATTTTTTTTATTGTACTTATCAAATTGTGAGAAAAAGCATTAAAAAAGTATTTTGGTTATTATTTTTTTCACTTAGAGCTGCACAGTTCAAGTGTCTCAAACATGACTTTAGAATACTTGGGTTGACAAGATTTTCTTGCACCTCAGTCAGAGCTCGACAGGAGACAGGACCTTTGGGTCTTATAAAAAGAGAAAAGCAAAAAACATGCTGACAGCAGGTGACATATTTTACTGTGTATGCCTACTATCTTGACAGTAGTTAGTCCATTGTGTCAATGTAGTGACTTCCTGGTCAAAAAATGTCTTTATGAATGTGAATTTTCTACTTCATTTGTCTTTGTTCCCCCTAATTCCAACTTCAGAATATTAACAAATAATGTCTGTGATTTGCATTATCATGATCTGTGAGTCTTGTCAACTTAGAGCAACAGCTGAGAAGATGTAACCTTAAAACCATGTGCTTTTGACATTTTATGTGCATAGATATGCAATTCTGGGCTGGAACACCATACTATGACGTGGGGCTAGAGTCATCATCTTTAGTCCCACATCACACTGTTTTTTTTATTTTTTTTTATTTCTGATTTTCACACTTGATGGGATAATGTTGTAGTCATGTACTTGCAGAACTCTCACAGGAACTGGTTTTAATGTCAGCAGTGGCACATTCCACAGCTGTAGGGGAGCCAAGCAGAAAAAATGGTCATATTCTTTGGTGTTACTTTAAGGAAGCATTAAGCACTGCATTGAAGTGAGTGAAAGACAACAGCACGAATTATTCCCCAACAGAAAAGCAGATGCACAATCCCCAAATGGATTCTAGGGAGGATGCAGGGCTTCTGAAAATCTGTACGATTTATGAAAAGTAGCTGGTAGAGCAGCAAGTGGCAGCACGGCTGTCAAATGAGCAGAGCCGCAGATGCCAGGTGGCAAAAAAAATAGATTGGTGTTTTATTTCCTGTCGGAATTAACTTTAATACATTTTATGTGCTTTTGCTACACCTTTATACATTTTTTCTTTGTCTCAGCCCTAGTAAGGGTATTTTCAGCATGAGGTGTAGGGTTTTGATATCCCCTGCTAATGTCTCAATGGGTGGTGGGAGTCAACGCGCAGGTAATGATCTCTGTGTGTATATATCTGATAAACTTCTGTGTTCAGTTCACTATTCTCGATGAAGAGTACATCACGTCGAAAAATGGTTTTCACCTCACAGGTCCTTTGAAGTGCTTTGTTATAACTTCCATGCATCTGAACACAGGACTACATGTTGTATCCTCTAAGAAGACGAGGCCTGGTTTCTACTTCCTCTATCTAAAGATTGACTCATGGCACAACTCTGTTTGTCTGTGGAAGCACACAAGCGAGACAAAGCAGCTACTGCATTAATTGTGGAGTAGTAGCAGCTATAGGCTTAAAAAGTTAGTAAGAAAAGTAAGTAACAAAAGTTTGGTCCACGGCTAGACTCATATTTTATACTTGGAGGACAAATCAGTGGAATTTTTGATGATTATAAAGGAAATGGTCTAACAAGAAGTGCTGCGAGGGTGGTGAGCTGATTTTCGATGGATGAACGAATATAGACAGCAACTTGATTAATGAGCTCATTCTCACCAGGAACTGTGAAATTGGAACATTTGTCCACATGACCAACACACAGAAGTTTCATGCTCCATGCTTAAAAATGGTTGAGATGACAACCTTACTGGAAGAGGCTATTTTGTGTTATTTTTGTGATAGCATTACACCATGAACAAGTATTAAGCTATAGACCATAAATTATATAAACATGTAAATATATATATATATATATATACTGTAAATTTCTAAGTCAAATATGTCAAAACTAAACCTAACATTAATTCTAGCCTTAGCCATGTGCGTTTTACTCCTAACTGTAACCCATAGTGGATAAGTGGGGGATGAGAAATAAGTCATTTGAGAAGTACAGAAAAATTGAAAAGAGAAAGGACTGTGGGGGAAAAAATTAAATGACACAGAATCAGCGATCTCTTCCTTGAAGAACCCAACAAAGACTTGCATTTGTCAAGGTTGGCATAATACTTGCACAATGCAAAAAAAGTGGAAACATCATCAGGAGAAGCACACTCATATGCAAACCCAAAGCCTTTGAACTTAATCTCACTTTAAAAACTTTTTTTTAGCTTGGAACTGCCATCAACTTTTAGAATTGCTTTATTAGGACCAAGAGAACCAATGAGCGGTCAGGAATAACTGCTTTTATGATGATCATGCAGGAGGCAAAGAAATCTAGGGCCCTTAGGGGTTCAAATGGCTCTTTACAAACAGCACAAATTAGAGGCAAGAATATATGTATACACCTATCTTCCTCTCAAGCCGACATTTCCTGAGACCATGCTTTAGGTTTCTCCCTTGGGTTCAGCGGACCTACTTCTTTCACCTCGAAGATAAAAATAACATTCAACCGTGAATGTAATATGAATAAGAATTCACAAACAGCACACTGACGTCAGTGAGACTACTTTGAAATATGAAAGGATCCAACAGTCTAGGCTTAAGTTTTTTTCTTCTTCTTTCTATTAAACACATGACGACGTTTACATCCAATGAAAAAGGGTTTGAACAGCCCACTAAAATATCGAGAGACCAAACTAATTTAATTGTGGCATGTAATTCTGGGCCTGAAGGGAAATGCTGCAGATTGCATTCTCACAAATATTTTGTCTGGTGCCGAGAAGCCATAGCAACGGCAATCATTTTCTTCACGACAATGTAAATAATTTGACACAAGAAGTGATGGCGGTGCTGTTTGTGCTTTTGGGCCATTATTAAAAGTGCAATAAATCTTTCGGAGCAAAACCAATAATGAATAGTTACAAAATACTGAGATGTACTCATGTTTAAAAAAAAGACTCCTTGTATTCAAATGGCCTACACAGCCCTTATATCCAGCGGGACTAGCAACGACAGGATCTGGTTGAGTAAAAAAACACAACACAATGCCACCGAGATTCATATCAAATCAATAATTCATAAAAACTACAGAGATTTAATGATATTTTCATAACACCCACACTCTTTTCCCCCCCTTTAGTCTGACAAAGACAAATTGCCTTATTCTAATCAAAACATCAAACCTCTGAGTCAGGTTGAGTGCCTCACCATTGTTGTTTGTACATCACACTTGCCTTTGCAGCATTAGTAAGAGCACTTTTCTGTGTGTGTGTGTGTGTGTGTGTGTGTTTTTGTTTATGTGAGTGGGTCTGCACCAGCTTGTCATCATGATGACAGTTATACTTGCCCGCTGTACTTGTGAGGTCCAGTGTATTTGGTGGACACTACATGTTTGAGAGACCAAAACTTGGTCAGACATACGTTATGGGTCAGGGCTCTGGCATTAGTAAGTATTATGTTTGTGGTTAATCACCAAAAAGATGGACAAATGAAGTTTGTGTGTGTGCTATCGTTTTAACATTAGTCTTAACATTGAATTATTGCTTTGAAAAATATTTGACTTCAAAGTTAATTATATTTAATTGTGAAGCGTTGATGGAAGGGATCTAATGCCGTCAGATGCCTATTGTGTGGGGACTTGAGTCATACTCCCAAGTCAAACCAATCCCAACAGATAATATGATATTTTTTAGTGGTGCTGCCATTTGGCAGGTACCCCAGTAGAATTATTACTTTTTAATCTATGGCAAAAAATATTTCAGTTCCGAGTCCTGTCTTGGCTTGCTTTCCATACATCAAAGTCTGCAACTCCACCCACAGCGCTGATGATCCAAACTCCATCAGATGCTCTCCATCAGTCATACTCTTAAGTAAACCAATCCCAACAGATAATGATATGATGTTTTTTAGTGGTGTGGCCATTTGGAAGGTACCCCAGCAGAATTATTGCTTTTTAATCTATGGAAAAATATTTCAGTTCCAAGTCCTCTTTTGGCTTGATTTCTATAAATCAAAGTCTGCGAGCCCACCCACAGAGCTGATGATCCAAACTCCATCAGATGCTTAAAATCTAGCACTTCAGGAATTACTTTCATTTTGAACGTTTCTTTGAAAAACATCACCGTCAGTCATTTCAGATGCCGTTCAGACAGGTGTGAACTAAGACATCTTGCTCACAAGGTCTCTCTGACCTCGCTGTCACTAGAAGCATGAGGATAGAGTTGTTTTTCTCCATCTTGAGTGCATGAAAAACAATTATAACGTTGAGCATTTTCACAGATTTAAGAACAAAAGGCATCTTTCTTGCCATCATACGTTGTCAGTATTTAACAAATGTGTGAGTAGATCAGATTATTTAAAATGACAAAGCTTCATAATTCTCTAACAGTTGATTTAGTGTTTACTTTTCTAACAGAAATTTGACAAATATCCCCAAAGGACAACATGTGCTAATGGAAGTGCGGCAGTTGCAGTCTTGTTAGTGAGCTTAGCTTCTTTGCAGCTATCACTGATTTGTTAGATGTTCCTTGCATCTGTTGGCAAAAGTTCCATCTGAAACTCTTTTCAGTGAACAACTTTAATAATAACTTTCCACTGACTAAATTCAGTGGCTGTCAAAAGTTCCTGTCAGGAACTGAGTGCTACCCTTATGCTGCTGGGAGCCATGATAAAAAAAGAAAAAAGGGCTCATCGGAACCGTGTCTGCACATCTCTGCGCAATCATGTGGCTCAGCAACTGCTTCAGTCAGAATGAGACCTGAAGTTTAATGAAGTTAGCAAAACCGCAAGAAAAGACACGATCTGTTTGTCATTTGACATAAAAAGGGGGTCCTCCTGACTTCTGTTGTCTAGACAGGATGTGGAGGGAATATTTTTAGATTTATATGCACAGAGTGTAGCTTCACTGTCCAGCTGCTCTGTCCGGTTCCTGACTGTGGAGAGACAGACAAAAGCTAAAGGCAAAAAAATTGTGAAATCAGGTGCTACTGAATCTCAACAGCTGTAACTCCTGCAAAGTATAGTTTGAGTTCTGTTGGTTGTTTTTTGATAAAGAGGGACTATGTTTTGTTTTTGGATGTCTATCTAAAGCATGTAAGAAAGATTGTTTTTGATTATTTTACTGTAATAAGAAAATTGATGTTGCAGATGCTGAAAACGTTTAAATCTCACAGAGCGACTGAAGTACACACACAGTTAAATGATTACTGTTTTCTGCATGCAACAAGTCACATTCAAGACAGAGAGTATTAGTTAGACTCATTTGTTTCCATTAGATATATTGACTATGAACTAAGGAACAAGAGCCCATGATAAATATATGTCGATAATAAAGGATTGCGGTTGTTTTCCTCAATCTAACAGTCTGAGATCAGACAATAAATAAATTATTTAATGTGCAACTTGAACTCGATCTTAAACACACTTTAGGCAGTTTCGCAGAAACTGGTAGTGCATGTTTTACCATTGAAAACTCCATGATGCCAAATGAAGTATCAGCGCTTCATTGCAGCCTATAAACTGCGTCCACAGTGAACCTGTGTATAGACCAGTCTCTGAAAATCTATTATCTCACTATCATATCGTAATATTAGCACAAGTTCAGTACAGTAATTAGGTCTACACTAGTCAAAACCGCATTTCTGTCTGCTGAGCTCCAGACTAATCGGCAGAGCGGTTAGTAGGTGCATATCTGATTGTTTCAGAGAACACAAGCTGCAGCTCATCTTTCAAACTGGTGCCGTTTGTTTTCCCTGCTCTGAATCATGCCACATCCCAAGGGTACATTTTGGAAGACTGAGGCACACACGGTGACAAATCACCATTTTCGCTTGTTTGTATGCATAATGGAACTCCAATTACTTAATGCTGATCATATGCAAATCAGAAACAGTATTTCTTTTATTTTTTAGGTTTTCTTCTTCAAGCTCTCCTAAGGAGGGCACTGATATGAGAATACACACCAAAAGCGCTGCAGAGACTCCTCTTCAGATGTTTGACTTCTGCTTTATATTTTCTCTCTTTTAATATTTCCAGCACATTCCTTTTTAGGTGTTAGTATAAAAAAATAGCCTGAGTTGTATGAGAAAAGGACCAGAAAGGTCCTGCTGCTGTATACAACAACTAGCAGTGTATTTGGCTGTGTTTATGTTCATGAATATTTCTATTTCAGAAATGCTGGCAGGGGGTTTGGAGATGGAACCCAAGACTTTAAAAAAATGTGCTTGAAAAAAATATTTAAGTCTCCACTTGTTGGATTGGCATCTGATATAGAGACTGGTTTGTGGAATGCATTTGAACTTCTCTGTAAGCGTTGTCGTTGATAACTGATTATTTCATTTGAGTCAAATTTCACTGTTCAGAGAAGTGTTGCTGAGGGATGCCTTCCCTCATCTCGATATCCCACGTTTGGTTTCCTTGGGGCTGTGCAGTAATCCATTCATTATCATGAAATCTGATTAAGTAGAACAAAAATTAGAACAAAAATGTGTCTAACAGACATTTTAAATCACGGGGTTCATACTGCTAATGGCAATTCTATAATTTAGCCCTCAACCAACTCCTCCAATCATCAGATGCAGACACTGGAAGTCATTAAAACTCCTCACCAAGCATTCTAAAGCTTTATACAGAGTACCTTTTGCATTGAGAAACCATTGCATTTCATAGTGAGTTGACATGTGAGGCTAAAGGGTTTTGACAGCATCAGTATGTGATGAATTGGTTTTGAAAAAGTATTGTATTTAGTCCAGTGATGTAATTTAATTCAGTTGGGTTTATCAAATCGATACAGTATCTTTCAAAGTTGCTGTCTGTCTGTGACTAAATTTAGTGCAATTATGTTTCTGTGCAGAGCTACAATAGCAGCGATATCAACCCAATGAGAAGAATTAGCATCAAATTTACTTTGAGTTAGGAAGAAAGCTGCATGGTTTATATAACTCATTATGTTTATCCACAAAGTCATTTTCATTCTGCTACAAGGTTTTGTTGCAGGGTGCAGTTAAATAAGTGTGAGCTAATCCTTGCAGCTTTGCAGAAGTGCAAAAATGACTGAAAAATAATAATCTTCGGAATGGTAGAATAATACCTATTTAATTGCAAATAATGACTTGCATAATAAGAAGATACAAGTGAAGCACTTCACTTAAATCTATATATCAAGTTTGCATGGAATGAAGTGGGTAAATATTCTCTAACATAAACAGGTGGATTTGCCTTAATTCTCAGGCATTGAGCGTTAAGAGATATTCATGATTACAGACAACCAAGTTCAGGAGACATCATTAAGGCTTAGGCACAACACTTTTAGTGGGTCACAGCTCCAAATGAAAGAGGGAATGATTATGACTGATTAATCATTTGGCCCTGGGGTATCACAAAGAGACAATTTACATAGCTTAATTAATAAAAGATTAATTGCTTTCAGTCATTCCAGTCAAGGTTAAAGTATTATTTAATAATTTATAATTCAGAACTTTCTGCATCACTTGATTCACTGTCCTGTCTGATTCTACTGGTGTGCGTTTTACATACACAGACACAGGTATGGGGTTAACATTGAAAACAGGAGGTTTCCAGTCTCTGTCAGAATCACAGATTTGCAAAACGTTGGAGTCCACTTTGTGGAAACTGAAATCAATAATCACACGGAGAGTGTTTTCAGTGAAGCTCCTAATACTTTCTAAGGGCCACCGCTCGTTATTTGTCCTTGACCTGGAAATGATACTGCGTGACCATGCTTCAATCTTCCACTTTGTAAAGAAGCCTGGCAGAGCGTATGCTTTCAGGAAGAGATTTACTTGGATTTTACTCCTGTTTTTAAAAAAAAATATGTGCTAGACAAATTCAGGGGAAAAGTTCTGGGCTGACAGGATTTCAGACCAAAAATGTAATCAACTTTCATCTTATCATATCCCAGGAGATGTCTGAGATGGGATGAGCTAGCTTCTTGTGCTGTCTCCAGTATTCCGTAATAATTTGGTCGCTATCAAAGAAAATTTCCCAGACAAGTAATTTTGGTGGTTAGCTGAGGTGTCTGGGCAGGATTAAGGGCATGATCCTAGTGTAATGGTCTTAGACTCTGTTCTTTTGATGATGAGGCTATATCATAATGGAGTGTAGAGATGATCCTATTCAAATGGTGAGATAGCTACATTTTGTGTCACGACACAATCACCCATAAATAGATTTCTGTAGAAATAATGGTTGATAATTCCCTCAGATTATGAAATAAACATATTGATTTGTTTTACTGTTAATCTTTTATGTTTAAAGAAAAATCCTCAGTGATTAAATGCGTCAACTTATTTATGAAGATGATTAGTTTATTTCTATTTAATTTATTAAAAACACCCATGTACCATTTTTAATTAATCTATGTGCTCATGATTTATGATTTTTGTTGTTTGTCTAGTTGTGTAAATGTCAGTCGAGTTGTCTAGTTGTGTAACTGTCACAGTCCCAGCTGTACGTATAGGACTGCCGGAGAAGTGCTGTCAATAAATGTTTGGGCTTTGAAGCTTTGATCATCACACCGTTAAAGTGAAGCTGACAAATAAGAGAGTCTGGCTGATGCAACAGCTTGGAAACATTGGAACTGACTTTTTGTCTCTCAAATGCCACCTTTCCATGAAAATTAACTCTCAACATAAGCACAATATGCTTGAGCTCAGAAAAGATCTTCTATAGTGATAATATATTCTCCTATATTCATAATGCTGCAAAATTGTATTTAATATCATGCTTATCTACATCTAAATGAGTGTCAGTTCCCATCATTGACTGTTATCTGTTAGTCATGTGTATAGTTATCTCATTTTAGATTAAATCCAGATGAAACTTTTACCACTGCCTGTAAATAACTGAGAAGGTATTGTTGCTCCACAGCCCTGGAACTTGTTTGTTGCAATGTGTGCCCAATGTTGCTGCAAATCTTTACTTTTTCAGAATTGTCTGGGCTGTGGGCCGGTCAGTCCAGCTCTGAGGTTTCGTACTGAAGCACATGCATTTCTTTTTGTTGCATTTAAATTGAGATTCCTATGTCCACAGGAGAGAGTCTATTTGAAATGAGATTCAGCCCACGGAAGATGGCAGCTTAAACTTTTATTTGTGGGGAACAATTTTAACCCAAAAAATATTTCTGGGGTGTTTGTAGGCCCATGCAGTGAATTCCTTGATAGAACAGGTTGCCGAAGGCCTGAAGATCCTGTGTCTCCAGATTCTCTGCCTCTCTTAGTGATAATCAGGAGATGATGAAATATTCAAAGTCTTGACAATTTTATGCTGAGAACTTCATTCTGCAACACTTTTTTGCAGTGCAGAACATTTTTTTCCATTTTTATTCCTGTCTTTGCATTTCTGAGGTGCTTATTTTATACCCATTCATATCGCTGACCCTTTTGCCAAGTAAACTTATTGTAACTTGTAACTTTTCTCAGGCTTTTTCTTTTTTTCTGTTTGTGACCACATACTCTTCCAGCCTTTTTCTGCCTTCTTCGTATCTTTTTAAAAACTGTGTTGGAGCCATCAATCTCAAGATCACTTTCAACACGTTATATATTTTCTCTTGTGAGTAAAATTTGCGTTCCCGAGATTCACTTTAATAGATTAAGTTGATGGCTTCAGTGCTTTCTATTCCTATTTATTTTTTTACATATTTTCCCATCCGTTTTGCAATTGGAGGTGTGCCTGCGATAGCGATAATTACAGTTCACTCATGTGTCCCTGTTGTATATTTCCAGTGGGATGCCATCACAGAGATGGATGAGCAGAACAGACCTATTCACACCTTCCAGGTCTGTCATGTAATGGAGCCAAACCAGAACAACTGGCTGCGGTCCGGATGGATCCAGCGGCAAGCGGCACAGCGGGTCTGAACCACATTGCAAATCTAACCCAAACCTGTTCTTTTTCCCAAATCTTTGTTTGGCTTACTTCAAACGAAGCAGGCTTGAAGTAGGTTTTGTGATTTTGTAAGACGGTTGAGAAAGTGTCTAAAAAGTAATTGAGTTTTCATCACAACTCATCGTGAGACCTAGCATGAGTGCCTGATTCTTTTAGAGAAGCTGGTGATAAGGAGCTAAAATAGTTCCTTCCTCTCAGACTATAGCATACAGCTGCATCACAAATAGCTGAAAATATCTCCCATTGAAGATGAGACTTTAAATTGTTCCTTTCTGGGCAGCAGCGGAAATATTCACAAATCCAGCTTTTTTACTGGCCTGTTTTATGTCCTGTTTACTACTCCATTTCTCATTTTAATTATATCCTTTGCACATGTTGTTGCTATGATGCTTAGACATAAATGAATCATGTTTTGTTTACAAAGCTTCCCTGCGCTTAATGCCACTATTTCATATGAAATGACGCCAGCTGAATTTATTTAAAAAAACAGACACCAGGTAAATGACTGATTGCTGAAATGGAAAATCTTCAACACAAATGACAATATGAGTGATTAATTACTTCATTTACACTTTGACACAGGTGTATGTGGAGCTGCGATTCACCCTGAGAGACTGCAACTCCATTCCTTGGGTGTCTGGAACCTGTAAAGAGACCTTCAACCTCTTTTACCTGCAGGCAGAGGAGCCACTTCCTGCAGGGACACGTTTTAGGCCCACTGACTATGCCAAGGTTAGTGGCCGCACCCTGCGTGAAATAGTCTTCGATGACGGTGCCGCTTTCCCCCCATTAGAAGTGAACCGAGTGCTGTTTTGCTTTAAGGTGGACACCATCGCAGCAGATGAAAGCTTTACACAGACAGACCTTGGAGATCGTGTTCTCCGCCTCAATACTGAAGTCAGAGAAGTGGGACCGGTGACACGGAAGGGCTTCTACTTGGCCTTTCAGGATGTGGGAGCGTGCATTGCCCTCGTGTCTGTCAAGGTCCGTGTACAGAGTTGCAAGTGAACATTTGCATGCGTGCGATCAAATAGCTCATTTTATATCTTCAACCGACCGGTCGTACTTTGATGTCACGCTCTTCTCTTTCACGTAAGGTGTTTTACAAACGCTGCCCGTCGACTTTGAGGAATCTGGCAGCATTTCCAGACACAGTGCCGCACATGGACTCATCGTCTCTGGTGGAAGTGCGAGGCGCGTGTGTTGAAAATGCAGAAGAGAGGGACACACCTAAGCTGTACTGTGGTGCTGATGGAGACTGGCTGGTGCCACTGGGCCGCTGCGTCTGTAGCATCGGCCACGAAGAGACGGATGGTCACTGCAGAGGTGAGAAGCCGCTTCGGACATTTCTGTGTGTGTGTGTTTGTGCTAATCGAAGAGAAGAAAAGAGAAGAGGACAGAATAGAGGAGAAGACGTTGCATCACACTAACAGATCTCCAGGGTCCTCCCTGTGATCTGCAGGAGTTTGAGTTTGCTGAACTGATATCCCCTCCTCCCATTCTAAGATCCTGCATCCTTGTCTCATCCTTTTCATCCACAGTTCTCTTCATCCCCTTTCAGCTCCGCCTCCCCTCATCATCTTCTCTCTCCTTGTATCCACTTTGTTTACTCCTCACTTCCTTCACTTTCATTCCTATCTTTTCATTTCTTCCTTTTTGAATCACACTCGCTGAAATTGCCTTCCTTTTCTGTTCTGAGATTATGAAAAAAATCATCCATATGTTCCTATAACTCTTAGGAGAACTTTCCTGAGCTTAGTTACTTTTGGATGGATGGATGGATGGATGATTATATGTATACATATACATATATATATATATATATATATATTCATTGGCAAGCTGTGTTTGTATGATGAACATTCAGTGCTGATAAGTCGAAACTTTATTTACAGCAGAAACAAACTATTTAAATCAAAATATATTGATGAATAGCACAGCGTTCCTGTAACAGGCTTTTTAAGGCGCCTCGTGTCTAATTACCCCATTCAGCATTACCTAAATGTAGCACATTACGAGCTGAGCAGATCAGGAAAAAAGTTAGGGGAACTGTTGACTTGTTCCAGATAATCTTTGGCCTGGTTTCTCAATAAGATGGTGAAGACAGACTTGGGGCCAACTGGGTAATTGCTTTCATTTGTTAGTTTCACAGATAATTTAGCTTGCACCACGTCTTTTTCTAAAACTCTCCCAACCCCTCTTTCATTCCAGCCTTACCCTCGTAATTAAGACAGTAGCCAAATTGAGCCACAATTCGTGATCACAATTGAAGTGCCCCCTGCTTTACTCTCTGCATTTTGTAGAGCCACAGCTGTCTCAGCAGGCAGGGGTGAAATTCATGGTGAGCCCCTGTGGAGATGTGGTTGCACAGGGTATTACATAGAGAGCTCCAACAGTCATTAGGAGCTGATATGTAGGACAGCCTGTAATAACTTCTTTATTTGCTCCTCGGGTGTAATTTTTCTTCTTATCTTCTTCTCTTTTATGTGCTTTTTATTTATCTTTTCACTCTCACTCCGCCTCAATCATCTCAAGTTAAATAACGCAGAAGCCTGTCAGGAGAGATTACCAATGAGACGGCAGCTTAGGAGCAGCACTCTCTCGGTGTCCCTTGTATACGTCCTACATCTATCCTCTGCCATTTCACCCCCTTTGGCTGACAGTGGTGGCTTCTCTTGATGGAGCTGTATTTGCAACAGCATCAAGGGGGCCCTGGCAGCCGCCACAATGAACGGGTCAATAACTCTTGTAGTTGTGACCCAATTGGCACCGGTTTTTCAGCAACAAATCATGTGTGTTCCTCAAACTAACAAACACTGACAGACACTTAAAGCAGCAGTAAAAATATGATAATTCCATTCCAGTTTGTAATGTTGATGGCATGTTGTGATTTATTTTACTCAAAAATCTGTTTTGTTTTGGTGGTGCATATAAAAGAAACAGCTAACAGAAATAGTATTCATTCAGGAAAGTAAGATCTTTATGAGTGTTGTTAGATTGTGTTGGTGCAGTTGACATATATATGTTGAATTTGGGCTTAAACCTACCATGCCGTTGATTTAGGTTGTTGACAGATGTGATGTTTCAAAGAGGATATGTGTCTTTGATACAGGAATACATCATTCAAATACACAGATGTGATGCCATTACTGTAGTTCAGAAGTGTTTCACTCCTAATTGATTTGGTCTTGTTAATTTGTGTGTGTATGTGTGTCTTTTTGTTTCTTTTGCTTCATACTGCAGTGAGTCTTTTACAATAATTTGAGCCCAAAGCCCCTCTGGCTTCATCAAGAACTCCTCAAAGGGCTCCACGAGCAAAATTACATTCCCACACTGATGGGAGGAATTTAGGTGTTGGGGATCAGAGTGCAGTGTCCAGTTACTCACAGATTATTAGTTTTTGTTTGTTTCTGCACCTGAGTCTTGAATTTATTTCACCACCATTGGTGCAGAAGACATCTGGGATACGTTGCTCAACATCCTGAGAAATTAACACCATGCAGAAAAAGCTATTTCTTATTTGTTAGTCCTCTATTTCTCTTCTCCAAACCTACCATTAAGGGATGCCTTGGTGCTTACACTATGCTGCTTTTTCCCCTCCAAACATCACATTTGAATGACTGGATGGCTTGATATTTGTGCAATAAAAAAAGGATATTAATCATTAAAGTTCAGCTGGCTCTATCACAGAATAATCCCCTTCTGGTTTTATTCAAGTTTGTGACTCCCATGTTCTCAGCCAAGGAAACCTATTCCAAGGCATCTCAAGCAGCTCCATGCTCCTAATGCTTCCCCAGTAAAAATTCTGATTCATTAACACCTCTCCCCCATAGTCCAAAGGACTCAAAGAATGTCCTTTTTCTATGAACAGGGTCCTTGTAATTGCATGAATAGGACCTATTCCAAATTGTGATTTTGTGTCTAATCTTTGTACTTTTTTACTTCTGAAAAACTGTCTGCATTGCCCTGTACTTTCTTTGCTGTGGACACAATGGTGAGAAGCAAATGTTGATATTATCACCTACCTGTGAGTCTGAAGCAAAGCCTACAATTCCCTAAATAGTTCTTCCTTGAGGAATCTCACCTCTGAATAACGGCGAAGTTATGCTGCATTTTTGTGTGCAGCAGTTGTTGTCTAAAGTGTCCATCAAGAAAGCTCTAATGTCACCATCCTGACACTTATTAGCATTAAACTGAAAAGAATGGTTATTGGGAGTAACACATCATGGTCTCATACTTAATAATTTATGTCTAATCGTCTTTTTTTCTCATTAATAATTTCCACAGGTCCGACAGAGCTTATGCTGTAATAAAGATGTGCACTTTGCAAGTAGTTGCAGGAAGTTTAGCCGTGAACTTTCAGTGACTTCTCCTTTCTCCTCGTTTTCATTTTGGAACACTGCTTCAAAGGGAGCTGTGATCAAAGCTGTCTGAGAGGCAGCATGGGGAAAAAGCAAAAGAGGGAGAGAGGGAGCAAGGGGAAGAGACAGAGACAGAATAGGGAAAACCCCAGCGCTCCCAAATATAAGCAGAGCTCGACACTAACACGTCCATCTTTCCCTCCCAGCTGCCTAAACAAAGGCATCAGCTCTTATCAAACTCTGCTTTCCACCCCAACAGCATTCTACCAGACTGTTCTGACATCTCAATCGAGCGCTTTATTATTCTATTCCTTTCATTCGGCGTCAGCCACAAGAGGATTACTTAGAGATAGGATGGTTATATCATGACCTAGAAAAAGCAACATCATAGAGCAGATTCTATTTGTTCCACATCCTTTCGTCACAGCACCGTATTTAAAAGGAGGCAGTGAAATGCAGAGGAAGCTAATAGAGATGTCTTTTCAAATTTCATTTGAATCTCAGCAGTTGCCCTGAGTAGAGCAAAAAGAATCCACCTAATGGATCAGATTTCTACACTCCGCAGCTCAGAAATGCAGATGTTGTGGATTCAAAATAATCATATAGAAACAATCATAATCATTTAAAAATCCCGTCTGTACTTTTTTTGCCATTCGGATTTTTTTCTCTCCCTGCTTTTCGAACTTAGCCACATCAGTGCGCCTCTGAAATTGAATATCGTCACTTGTGGCTTCCAGCCGATGCCCAAAGTTGAGACCTTAAATATTTGTAAAATGGAACAGGAAATCCGGAATCGACATATCTATTGGTGGTATCAGATGCACTGTGTCCCTCTGGTGTCCGATAAGGAGTGTGTTTACTCTGGGCTCTAACTCACCACAGCCAGGCTAGAGCATCACTCATTCTCTGTGAACTTCCCATCTGCATATCAAAGCTGAGAGAGGAGGCAGGATAAAAACACTCTCAGGCACCATCTGTTTCTGACAACATTAAGCCAAGAGACAGAGTCCAACCATACATACCTCGACTCAAAATCACTTAGTATGCCATTACAAGCGTGTAAATTGTGCATGTGAGGTAGGGAAGTTCCTTGCTTGACCATTCCCTCTCCTGTGGGTTATTTTCTGAAACTCAACTGTGGAACTTCAGCTTAGAAATCCAAGCTGAAGATAAAGATTAATCAAGAGTTGCAGGGCATGTTTTACCTTTTCAGATGAGAAGTTTTGTGGATCAGAGAACAGATTAAATCTCAATAAGTGACCCAGCAAAACAAAGATTTCCAGATGGCAGCAGTTAGAACAGGTCATCTTCGCGGTTGAGTGGTCCACTTATGATTCACAGATCATTATTATTGCAGGGGTTGGTGTTAATATTATGCAGTTCAGGAAGTCAATCGGATGATGTTATGTTTACTCACCCGTAAACCGCAGGTTTCCCCAGTCAGCAGCGCTGCAGTTTGCAGCTTGTTGCTTCGTGTGGTGATTGAAAGCTTTGCATGCAACATGCCTTCCAGCCCTCCTCATCATTTCCCAAGAGGATTTTCTTACTCTCTACATGACTGCTAATCCTGTCACAGTGCTAAAACAGAAGTTAGGGTTATTCTCAATTTACTATATTTGCAATGAATAGGTTTCATTTCTAGTTGTGCATCCATGATTATTGTTTTTATTTATTTATTACTATATCATTCCAAGAAAAGTGTAATTCCCAAAATTTATTCTAACAAAATATCCTCTCCAGAATTTCAGTGTCTGCATTAAAATGAGCATTGTGCTAACAACTGTGCATTGAGTTGATACTTTATTCCTGAATATTGTCTCGGGTCATTTTTGTTATTAAAACGCAGGACACTTCGATAGTTGATTTTTCTCTGAACACGTATCTAAGTGTCAACTGAACCGCCCATTGTCTCTGTGTTTGAATGTGGTTTAATGAAGATAAAAAAGCACTGCTTAGCCTGCAACACTGTTTATGGGTGGATTGGGGAAAGTAGTCAACTAGACTGAATGCAGACCGTTTCCCATTTACATTGGAAATACATTATTTTCTGTGCAGAATTGTAATGTAGTTATTGAGAAGTATTTGTATTGGAAACGTTTTCAAATAAAAATTATAGTTGTGCAGAGTTAAATAAGAATGACCACTGGTCAAGGCTGCAGTCAAGCTCATGCATATTAGATTATTCACCTCTGAAACCTTCTAGGGTTGTAATATAGAACAAATCTGTGTAATTTGCCATGTTGGTCTGATATTTTCAGAGCTACAGTGCATTACTAACAGCCAAATGAACAAACGAACAATTCATCTTGAAGTTTCTATCCATGGCATTCACATGACAGCAGGATAGCCTTGGGTATAATCACCACTCAACATTACTCAGCTACGTTTTTTTACAAGAGTGCATGCAGAGGCACCAGAGACACTGAATCAATCAGTTTAGAGTATCTACGTCCTCTAAGCTGATTGAATCAGAATTGCTTTTACAGAATTACGCATAAAATAATTTTATCTGGTTTGCTTCATTCAGCCATGATTTGAAATGTAGTCACAACTGCCATTTGCCAGGAGTCTAATAGCTCCATATACTAGGTCAAGACCAGGCAACATTCATAGAGCACAGCATGGAGCTTCCCACCATATGATTAAAAACAAATGATGTCAACACAGAGATTAAACTCATGTTTTTTTCCTTTCCATTTTTTTTCAGTGGAAGTAATAATGCATCACACAATAAGGGGTAAAGTGAGGCAGTAAATAATAATAATAATCCGAGGGAAATAAATGGGGCCCCACTGTTGCATCTTTTTGTTTGAGTCGAATATTGAAACATAGAAGATATAGAATCCTGCCAACTGATTGCCCATGAAGTCTTGATTTATATTCCTCTGGGTATAACATTTTTTGCTTTTTATTGTGTGTCTTATAGTTAGTATATTTATTCACTAATTTCTTTAGAAATTATCAGCGAAAACCACACATAAAGAATGCATTCTCAGACCATCTTCAATTAAAAATCCTATAAAATTCCATGACTTCTCTATTAGCAACCTCTTTATTACTTCTCTATTTGTTCTCCACCGCTGAGGTAAAGCTTTGAAGAGGGAGGCAATCTGCAATGGTTTCACCGTCTTCTGATAAGCCTTACTGGAAAGAGTGACAGAGAGGAAAGCAGGAGACTAGACGGGAAAAGAAAATATTCTGGAAGACAGATGAAAAACAACAAAAGGTGAAAACTGAGGGAGAGCAAAAAAGTTGGTGAAATATTGAAAAGATAAGGAAAGGAGCCTGACTGAATTGATGGGAAGAAAGAAATGAGAAGGTGAAATTGTTGTCTGGGTTGTCGAAAGTGAACATGTGTAAGGATGGAATACTGAGAATGTCTCAGTCAGCAGAATGCAGCGAAAAGGTTTTAGAGAGAGGGCAGGCTGTAATTATGTTTTTCATTATGCATTATTTGTATGTTAATAACTTTGGCTTCACCTGGCTGAAAAACAATCTTTTCTTCACTTTTTGTAAGGAAATCTGAAAACAGAAATGTTATAACCTGCAGAAAAATGCATTTAAATGATTTGGTATGTATGTTTTTTCCTTTTGTTTTAGGACTTAAAAAATGCATGTTCAGTTTTGCATTTCTGTTGCTTCGACATGCATTGAAACTTTAAGATAGACATCACAGCATCTGCAATATCTTGTTTAGCATTTACTCAATCCAGTAATAATGGTAATGTTAAGAGACTGTAAAACTGCAAAGGTAATCTTCGGCATCTACTATTAACCAATCATTTTGTTACTTCCAATCTTTCATGCTTGGTTTCACAAGGTTACAGTCCAAAGATTGTCTTTCAAAGTGTTGGAATTCCTACATTTAGATTAGACTAAAAACGTTTTTGTGAAGTTCTACTCAGAATAAGAGAATTACAGGTGTCAACTCTAATGCTCAAAGGGGAAAATGTGTTGTATGAACAATCTCTTGCATATCACTTCCTGTGCTTTTGTTTTCTGGCAGCTTGTCGGCCTGGATTCTTCAAGGCATTTGCAGGGAACACCAAATGCTCCAAGTGTCCTCTTCACAGCTCCAGCCATGACCAGGCAGCCACCATCTGTCACTGTGATAAGAGCTTCTACAGGGCTGTCAAAGACCCCACCTCGATGCCTTGCACAAGTAAGTTAAACAAGACGTATAAAAAAAAACAAAAGAACATTTGTTTTGTAAAATCATTTTAATCATTCAAAGTTCTTGAAAACTGAAAAACGTACACTTTAAAAATGATCTATTAACTTACTCATGTTTCACTGCTAGCCAAGATGCAGTTGTTCACCTCTGGACTTTTCTTGATTTTGATTTTTTTTTATTGTTCTTTAGCCAGCTACAAAAAAAGAAAAAGCAGCATTACAATATTACAGGAACAAATGCCATTAATATAGCAAATAATGATGGCAAATCTACGCAATTACAATGGAAGGCTTCACTTGCATTGCCTCGTTGATGCATGAGGACCCTTGGCACAGTACTATGATTTTTTTTATTGCCCATGGTTTGATCTGCAGTATATGTGCCAAAGTGTCACTGGCCAAGTTAATTGATGCCAAAATTGTTCTGATCCAACCACTGACGAGTTAGCGGTGTGTGTGTGCATGTGTGGTAAATTCATGCATGTTTAAAATAAATTCACTGAGTGAGATTTTGGCTATACTTTTAAACAGTAAAAGTAGTCAAACTGTGTTTTGAATGTTCAATGAGAGTGGAAATGCAGTTCAAATGCAGTCCAAGCAATTGGGTCAATACCCTTATAAATAACCTGTCTTTACTCACTCTGAATCAATTCCTGGTTTGTGTTACTGAGATTTTGATATTGTCCATGTTGTTTGAGAGTAGATATTGAGCCTTTGTAGTTGTTTTTTACTCATACGAAGTGTGAATTCAGATTGATCTTACCATTTAATTCTGAATTGTCTCCCCTTGAATGTTTTTCTTTTTTAAAGATATGAAAGACATTGGAATTTCATAAAAATTATTTTTCTAGTAATCTTACCGAAGTATAACCCTGTGCCAACTTTATTTGGGATTTCATCAGTCATGTTTCCACATAACAAACTAATAAAAAACAAAACAGAATACATATATTTGTACATTTATTGTTTATCCACACATTATTAAAAAAAAAATTCAAGTTAAATATTACATGCTGGAATGACAAAGTGAAAATGGTTTTAACTTAATTTTCAATGTGTTGAAATGATTTAGAGCAACAAATCAATTTTCTACATTCATAATTCACATTTCAATCCAGCTGACAAAACTAATACACCACTGTGCATTACTGTGGAGTATGCCACACAGACAAGGTAGAAATAATGAGCAAGGCATGGACTGCTTTTTTTTGCCTATGATACAGTTATCAACAATTAAAAATGAAAAAAAACTTGGTCTTCATGGATCTTCATGGAAAAAAACGATAATTATGATATTCTTTTGCCCATCTGAAAGTTGTATGCATTAAAGAGTCAGATTTATGCGGGTATAACATATTTTTAAGTACACAGAGAGTTTACCACCTACACGCCTATTCAAAGATAGATTCCGATATCCTTACTCTTGATTTCTTTGCCAGATCTAATATTGTGTTGCGCTTAACTTGAAAAAAAAATATCTGGAGCTAGTAGAGTTTCATCCGGCATAAAAATTGACACAAGTTGTTGGAAATGAAATACAGCAGGATTTGTTGAAAGCCAACCACCCACACACCTTCACTGCTGGCACGTTCAGCACATGTGCTTTTGATTCAAAGTATGCTGAGAGGCAGCTAACTTGTCAGATTGTCATGATTTTGTGCGGGCTTGTTGCTTCATTTTCAGGGTCACACAAGTAGTCTGATATGTAGATGTTAAAAAAAGAGTGAATTTCCGCATGTAACGCTTTCCTCCTCTCTTCAGGGCCTCCATTAGCTCCCAGGAACCTGGTCTCACTAATCAACGACACGGCACTCTTCTTGCAGTGGTTGCCTCCCAGTGATACAGGGGGCAGAAGCGACATCACCTACAACATCCTGTGCCAGCGTTGTGATGGAGGAGACAGCGGCTTTACGCAGTGTGAGCCATGCGAGCCGGACCTGCGCTTCATCCCGCGGCCACTCGGTATCACGGGCACCTCCGTAGCAATACTAGATTTCGCAATGCAAGCCAACTACACCTTTCATGTGGAAGCCGTGAATGGCGTCTCTGGGCTGGGCGTGGCCCCACGCTCGCTGGCCAATGTCACCGTCAACACACACCAAGCTGGTGAGTTTTTACTTCACAAAAAGGGAATCCTAAATTCAGTGGTGACAGCAGTGAGCACACTAAAAAGTCCCAACAAAATAGTTCATTTTACGAAGGCGTTGCTGGTTCTTACTGTCTTCGCTGTTATTCAGCAAATTATTATTTTGACTTTTTCAAACTAGTTGAAATTTTGATTGAATTATTGAAAAAACATTTCAGTTGTAAAAAATGAGTTTAATTTTTGTATGAATAAGTTCTACACTTTGCTGTGTCAAAACAACACAGTTAGCCGCAAAGTATTATGATGCTACATATCATTATTATTTAATATTGTATGTGCATTTGTAAAATGCTCTCAATGGGTTCTCCTATAGTACAACAAATAAGTAACCTTCTTCAAACTTCCTAGCTTACAAATACTTCCAGGACTTTTAATGGCCTGTCATGTTTCAAGTAAATGGTAAATGGACTGTACTTTTCTGGTCTGACCACTCAAAGGGCTTTGTACACAACAAGCCACATTTACCCACTCACACACCTACTCATACAGCACATCTTAGTCTGTGTAACATTAAAGCCTAAATGTTACTTTTTTTTCCCCTCCATCGCACACATTCACACACCGATGAGGACATCTTAGGCAGTTTTTTTGCGTTAACAACACTTCAAAATGTGGCAGAGTGAAAGGAGGAGCCGATCTACCGATCTTCAAAATGGCAGAAACAGCTCTTCCTCCCGAGCTCCAGCTGCTGAAAAATGCCAGCTAAAGTATCAGCTACTCCTGACAAACAAACATACAAACCCTTCACAGTCTTCACCAAAAGCTGATAATCAATTCTAGATACATTGTGCCTGTAGGACACACCAAAAAAGGCCTGATTTCCATCCCTGTGTGCATATAGTGCCGTAAAACCGAGTATTGCGTTTAATTGCGGCTGGAATGAATAAGCTGCCTGATTAGTCTTCTTGTTTGCTGAACACCCTGCATCATCTCCCACAACCTCTCTGACCAATTTAATGAGACAATGTTTGAAACAAACTTCTGACCCCTAAAGAGGTGACAGAGACTCTCTGAGATGAACTTAATCCTAATTAGCAAAAGTCAACTGACCTGAGGTCTTCTTCACCACTGGTTCACAAGAGCTCATTGTCTTAAACTTGAATTAGCAAAAATCAGATACCTGAAGCTTAAACCTACATTCCAAGGGCAGCCATATTGATGGAATAACTCATGAAGAAGGTCAAAATGAAGGGTGGGAAGAGAGTGGATTAATAAATGATTCTAGGGTATAGGGGACGTTTTCTCTCATCCAGAGAAAGCTAGGGCTGGAATGAAAATCTGAGGACTAACAACCATTAATTTGTACATTTCCTTTGGGATATAAATTATTAGAGGTAAAACATCCACAAAATATTGAGTTAACGAAAGGACCTCTACTTGGGTACAAGCCAATAAAGGAATATAGAAGATGCTAATCTAACTCAAATTTTCATATACTAGAACATGCTGCTGCTTTTCCACGGTCGCAATGTGTAATAAAAGAGTTATTCAGCTATAAGTGCTTGAACCGATGTAACAGCAGTAAGTTTGGACGTAAACGTTTGTCAAGTACAGTTCAATATTTCCAATTTGTGTGTAAGACACTATTTTCAAATCACCGTGCAACAATCCAAAATCAATTTTCTACCTTGATCCTATGTTACTGAAGATATTTTTCCACTCAATATATTTCCAGAAATACCAACAGATAAAAGTTTATCTGATACAACTGCTGTGTACTTACTAACTTGCGACACATGTGGGCTTGTTCTGAATAACTAGCAAATAAATCAATTGAACAACATAACTAACCAACAGCAACATTTTGTCTGGCAGGCTTGTAATTTTTCAGAATTTTGGAGTCTACACTCACCTCACACCACTGAACCCATTCCCGCAACAGTTGAAAATGTTTTTAGTTTCCAAGTAATTTTGAATGGTTATTTCATGTGGAAAAAAACAGGAGAATGGTGGATTCTGAAATTCAATCATAGATATTTAAGAAGACGAGTAGTTTTCAGTCACATAGCTGTGATGTTTTCTTTTAACTTGTGAACTCTCCAGTCTTGTTTAGCCAGCTGGTGAGTTATCCGCTGAACTCTGAAATAGCGAAAGCTGGCGTGAACTGTTGCTTCTGAAAGTTCTGTACAGTGCTCCTTTCTAATAAGAAAGACTCAGACCACAGTCAGTCACTGGTATGACCAAATCATTTTTCATACTTCCGCACATTGTAATTTCTTCTCTCAAATGCAGTGAGAGGCTTGCTATGAATAATAAATGTCTGCAGAACATCCACCTTCCTTACATTGATTCCATTCATCAGGCATTTATTATGCATCGGCTTGTACCAGGTGGTCTCCTAGGTCCTTCTAGCTTCTGCTCGATGGGGCTGACGCTTCGTCCAGTGTTGGCATGTTGTTTGCTTTGCCACCTGTGTATTTTGACCAGGGCTTCAAGATTAGAGAGCAAATTTGCTCTCAGGGAAACAGTTTTATGAGATCTCCGTAAAGTTAATGTAGAATTTGTCGGGGTAGCATCACAAGTCTGAATTGTAATTTCAAGAGGAAAAAATAGATGTGAAACAGAAAACCGTTATAAACTTAATTTTGTGTTGTGGTACAAAACACAAATTAAGGGAAGTGAATTAAATATGAATAGATGTACTCGTAGTCAATAATCTTTTTTGGATTAATTTGAAGCTGCAGTAACCAGTCACTTTGAGTTGACATCAGAACAAACAGCCATCACAATCACTTAAAGCAGGACAACACAGAGACACTGCCCAAAAACAGATCCCTGCACAGGAATGTCTGTTCCTTCCTGCCCTCTCCCACTGGGTTTGTGCCCATTACTGCCCACTGCTGCCGCATTTGCAAATATTACACGTGTTCACGACATGATTTCATCTTCTTTCTAATGTGTTCAGCACTTAAGCACATTTGTGAAAAAAAAGCCTGCTTCTTTTATCACTTACATTAGTATCAAGAGAACTATTTGTTCAGATATTAACCTTGCCCCAGCTATCCTTTTATATTATAAAACCCTGCTTGAGTCTTCTTCTCATGTTCACTGATTTCTGCATCACTGTGCTTAAAGTAAGCCAAGTACGAGAGTGAAGACCAACTGTTTGTTTTTTGACAGCATGGTTCAGTTTACATCAGCTTAAAAATCCCTAGACTCGCAATCTTTTTGCCAGAAAAGTTATTAAGCTATAGCCCCCTTGCACAATTTTAAAAAATCCGATTTTTTAAGTCAAAAGAAAAAGAAAACATCTCTTTTGCGACTTAGAACAAAGATTAATGCAATTCATCCTCATTCATGAGTTTAAGTGTCTCTCACAAACAATGACACCATGATTAAATACACGATATAATTATAATGAACCTCATAATTAAAGTAAGGAAGAGTAGATCCAATTAAGTCATCCATCTTTCCTGATAACAGATCTGTTAAATTCATATAATTCCGTCAATTGACACCAGACTCTGTATGTTGTGGATACATAACCTTATATAACCAGGCTTTATCAGCTTCTGACTACGACATGTTTATTATTAAGGGTAAATATGTAACAAAACAAATGAGCTTGTTGAGTTCAATGTGACAAGTTTCAATGCAAAGCGATCAACGGCATCACAAAAATCTGAACTTTAGTCTACATTTTCTCTTGAAAATAACATTCACACACACATGAGCTGGAATTTAGACTAATATCAACTACACTTGACATACACAAAAATAAAATCCTCATACATGATATTTATACTTAATGAATAAGATCAAAGTGGACACGTCAGGATTCATCATTTGCTGTTTTTTGGGGAGGTTTTGCAGTTATTTTTCTGTTAGAATTTCATCTTTAGGAAGTTCAATTTTTTTGTATTTGCATTGTACTGTGCAACCTTTCAAACAGAACTCTAAAAGCTCTCTCATTTTCACCACCTTGTGGATCGGAGTTACGGATTTTGTTGCCACACATAAATATATTATCATGTTCACATAGGTGCTCCATGGTCCTGTGCAGGAGCTAAAGGTTGAACTCTGCACCTGTCAAAAGCAGTGAGAAGTCTGGAGAGTGAAGCAGTCCTAATATTTTGTCATCGATCTTATAGAAAAGCTGCATCATATTTTTTAGACAGGCTATGCTATGCTCATGAGGTTGAAACTGATCTCATTCCCTTCGCCTTTTAATATAACATGATTTTAATCCAATTTGGATGTATTAATTGTGCAATAGGTTTTGCATGGCTGCAATGTTAATAAAAGATGATAGCAGTTATCAAATCATTTCTACAAATGTGATACGATATGTCATATCCTTACTCCTACCAGCTCCAGTAGTTTCTCATGGCTAATTGTCATCTGGCACATAGTGAAAAATATTGTATAGGGGTATTATTTCCTGGATTGATATGCATACTGATAGGCTGTCATCATGCCATAGAAACCAGATGTCAGGTGTATATACAGTATGTCACTTCATTCTGGTCTCTCTGGCGACGACAGCTAGACTGATGGGAGCAGGTTGGAGTAAAAAATCATTTCCAAGGAGGAAGAGAAGCGCCCTGCAGCTAAGTTCCCATTAGGATGTTTAGACTGAATTAACTTGTCAAACTGCCTTCCTGTGGTTGACATACTGTAAGCACACACAACCAGGCACATGTGCAAACAAGCAGCTAAACAAATGCACACAAACATGATATTTGGGTGCATGCATCCTCTATAGACATGCATAGAGTTTCTTAGAATTTTCCTACTATTTGTATTTTATGTTTTTTCTCTCATTTTCCAACACATGCACCGTTTTCTTCCCATGGTTCATCTTTCCGATAAAAGTATATTATTTTTTGCATAGGTTAGGATGTAGTAGATTTGAGGTGGTCCACACATTCAACATTTGATGTGTGCAAACAAAACTCTGATCATAGAGGCAAAAGATCTCTAGTTGATCTAAATTAAATGCAGTCCATCTATCATGTGCTGAATTATTCAACAAATTCTAATTAAAGAGCAATATCAACAGTTAAGGATGTGTTCGCTAAATAAATGAGCTGTATATTGATGAAAATGTTCATGATGCTATTAAAAGGACCAGCATAAGGCAACCTATTAAAACTTATGGGAAAAGAAAAAAAATTAAACAGAATTTCAAATGACCCAGAACAAACATTGAATGGAAACCTCAATATTTATATCTGTACTTGCCTAAAATTTTCTTTCACTGCCAATCAATAGAAATGTTTTTTTTGTTCTTAACTTAAAATAAATTGTTTATTAGGGAGTTACCCATCAGGCTTTTTTGCTATCAATATTTAATCATTTTAGTGATGTTAATCTTTTAAAAAGAATTGATCATTTGTCTTTTAGCAAGGTAAAACATTAATTGCCTAATGTGTTTATTTTTCATTGGAATTATTTTTTGTAAGAGCAGAAAAATAGATGTGAAGCTTGAAAAGTTTTCATGCACAACTCCTGTACAACAACGCCACTGTACAACGAAATGCTGACATCCGGACAACGGTTAGCTGATGTCCGGATGATTCTTAAGGTAGAAATGCAGAGGAGAGTGACAAGGATGATGTCTGTGTTTATGAAGAGTGGACTATGTTGTGCTTAGGATACGCTGCAGGCTAGTTCATCCCCAGAAGGCCTTTTGTCACTGAACATTCCTCCCATTAGTTCACTGCAGCACCCTGTGAACAGACACCATGAAGCAGGAGCAAATTCACCCAGGAGCTTTGTTGCATGGAACTTCCACATCTTTACGTCACATTAAAAAAATAATAAACAAGGGAAGTCATGGCAGAGGCAGAACATGAGTGTTAAAGTGTTAACTAAGATAAAAGTCTATTACAATAATATATTATTTGAAGATTTCAAATACATGACATTTAATATGGTTGGAATAATTTTAGTATAGATTTTTGGCCTCTTTTTGAGACTAAAACAGTGATGCACTACTAAAAGGTGCTGAAATAATCTGTGAGCTCCATTCATCCTTGTATTTGGGGAATCTTTAAAAAGAAGAGCCGAACAAAGCTGGTTTATAATTCAAATGTGAGTTTAGCCTGTAAAAAAAAATAATTCAAACAACTTCACAAGAAAATGGGTTTGCTTTGAACACCATCTTCATACCCAAACACACATGAAGCTGGCTGTAGAATAGATGAAATAGGTTTTCATTGAGGGGTTTCAATGGTCGACCCTAAAAAATAAGCGGGCTGTTTTCAAACGCATTTCACTGAGCAAGAAACTTGGCAAAGAAACTAGATGTAGCCACAAATTTGGTTGCTGATGAACAGATAATCTCTTGTGGGGACACTTGGTAGTAGCCATTTAATCAGGCCACTTTCAGTAAATATTTTGGGGCTTAAAGTCTTATTCCTAACCTTCTCTTGGACTGCACAACACCCCAGCCCAAAATGAGAATCTTTAAAAAAGTGCGTCACAGTTGGCTGTGTTGCATTGTGTTCTGTGATTTGACGAACCAGTTAAACTATTTTGTCACGTTGGCAATCTCTCGTTTAAACGGGCCAAATAAGTTTGAGCTGTCAGTTCTTTAGGTCTGATACTCTGCTGAACATCACTTATTTTGCTCAACCATTAATCTCACCAGGTTCTGGAGCGCTTAATGCACAATCAAACACTTTCCACTGTAATGTGGTGTCCTGATTCTGAAGAGGATTCTCGCTCTGTCTTTGCTCTTTTCCCCTTTCTCTCAGTTGATTCTCCCCTGTTTCCACCCCCCTCCCACTCCACCCTGCTCTGGGAATAAGGCTGTCTTCTATTTTTATGCTCAGATGCTGGGGAGATGCAACCTCGTGGGATTTCTTTACATCGCTCCCTGTTCACTCATTCGTTCAGTCTCCTTGCCTTTCTGTCCTTTCTTTATCATTTTGAGCATTTGTAGCTGAGGGTTAACCTATTTTTACATGTTGCCATGAAACCAGCTGGTGTGCATACATCAGTTATGGTCCTATGTTCGGCCAACTAATAGTGATAACCATGATTGTCCTCTTTGAGTTGCTCATCCATAGCAGAAAGTATCTAACAGGACTGATCTCAGCTGAATCCACAATAGCTTCTTGCGTAAGAGTGGGGAGGACTTTTAGGTGGCTCACTTTGCTGAAAATGTTGATGCACAGAAAATCTAAAGCTAAAATTCAACTGCTTCTCTCCCATATGAATATGCTCCTCCACACTCAGTATGCAGCAGACACAAATCCCCCCCCCCATCCAGTAATGTGGTTTTCGCAAACATTTCATTCCTAAGGGGTATTAAACGTACCTTCGTGGTGGCACTAAGGCAAACTGGAAAAAATAATTATTCATTGCTTATCTGAAGATGATGTTTATAAATATACAAACCGTATTTCGGAAGGTCTGAACGGGCCACTTTGCAATCACATTCAGGGTTCGTATATATGTTTTATTTGAAATTTGGGATTCTGCAGGATATTGATGATTTCAATAAATAGAGGAAAAAAAAATGTTTAACCCTGAGAGCCGTAGCAATGCAGATCCTGACGCTGGCAAACTGTCTCCATATAAGGAAAACCCTCAGTGAGCATGCAGATCTTCTGCTTCAGTGGATTAAAAGTTAACCCCTGTTTCCCCCCATGCTGCGCTTTCTCTGGACTTTAGAACAATGTAAAATAAAAGTATTATAGATCAGAGACACAATCAAGAGCCTTGCATTTTAAATGAACTAAAGGGACTTGCATCGAAAGGTCCATAGCTGTTTTTGGCTCGGTGGTTTCAGGAGTTTCAAGAACAGTTTTGAAAATGAATGATGAATATGCGAATATATCGAAATGAAAAGAGCAGTCTCAGATTCTGAAGGATTCTTACATGTTCCTAAATGTCAACAGGGACAGATTGATATTTTCTGGATTTTTACCTTCAAATGAAAACGCACTCCTGCTTTTATTGAGCAGACAACAAGAAGGATCCCCCTTTCTGCATACTGTGTGCCAAAGCAGAAACCAAATGATTCGAGAAAGGGTTTTAAAAAATGTACAATGTAAAATCTCTATTTTACATCATCTGTGGGTCAGGAGGCAGATTGGAGGTTTTGTGCACATCTCATTGAAAATATGATATTTTCATCCCTGGTTTCCCTGGTCCACATCTTCTGTCTTTGGGAAAAATGCTTTTGTAAACCCAAGGTGCTGCTCTGATAGATCATTGTGTGAACAGCCTAAAGGGAGACGGTTACCTATGTCAACTCATGTTACTGAGATACTGGTCATAAAAGTTTTAGGGAGTTTTAATTGTAAGATGTCATGAACCAGACTCTACACTTTTTTGAATTCATTTGTGAAGTTTTCTTGTGGAAAAATGTAACTGTTTCTGAGGGCTCCGCTTTTTTATTTTTTATTTAAATACTATGACAAGTTTCTGTCACAGACACAACTTAGTGGGAGTTTTCAGCTCATACAGATATACATATTCAACCAAACTGTCAGAAGCCTGCATTTCTGCACTCTTGTTGAAGTTGGACAAACCCCTAGATTTACATACATTTGTCATCCTGGGTGTGTATTTTTGTGAGAGTCAGCATTTAATTCTTGCTTTCTGTGTGTACCATTCTCCCTGCATGTCTCTGAGTCTTTGAGCCGCTGGACTGTGAAGTATTTTGTCTGGGCCAAGAAAATCTTGACAAGACTGGGGGGGGTAGAATTTGCACCCCAGTGTGTTTGACTTAATGTACAGTCATCTTACCTTCTCTAAAAGCCACCCCCTGTACGGAGGTGGCTGTTTGCTCCGCACGAGTTCAGTTGAAGGCATCCATTGGGTCCAAAATTTGTCTTCCTGTGGTGATGCTGCAGTTTGCACGCTCAACAGCAGAGGGACCGGGTCTATCAGTCCGCCAAATCATATTGTGTTCAAGTAGCAGCTTTATTAGTATTCATCCCATGCATTTTCATAACCGCTTCTTCCCTAATGGGGTCTGGAGCCTCAGCCAGTAGTCAATGGGTGAGAGGTGGGATACACCCTGGACAATGCGCCAGGGTGTATCCCATTTTTCTTATGCCCACCTCTGGTGTGAAATTATTTATGTTCTACACTCCCACCAGATTGTTACACTGCTCCATGGTATTTTACTGAAGAGTTTTTTTTTCTAATAAGATGAAGATTAGGGGGCATTTTCCACATAGTCTAGTTCAGCTGCTTGTGCATTTTTACTCTTTGGGGCTTCAAAAATATTTAGCTAAAGGCCTCCTTAAATATGATGTTGAAGAAAACGTTTTTCCAAAGGACCAATGAATTTTTCCCGCGGGTTGTCTTTAACTGTAGATTCCCTTTGGAGTTTCCTCTGATGGTTAGCAGAAAAGGAAATGATCAGCTTTCAGAAGTTTTACATGCACATTTAATTCAGGAAACTGAATTATTGTGACTATGTTTTCCATCTTTTTCTGTTAATATTTTAGAACAACCAACAATGCAGGCATTCAAACAAATGCACCATCCTCTGCAAAACCAAAACAATTTGATTTAAACTTGTAAGTTCCTTTTCTGTTATCTGACCATGCACACCTTGGTCAGGTTGGATAACATCCTTCAAGGGACAGAGACATCAATAAACCAGAAGAGGGCAGATGGGCCAGTGACACAGTTGTGACCAAAATTTGAATTTCCAAGTAACAGTTCAGAAGGTCCCGATCAATCCGTTAGAACTGAAGAAGTATTTCACAAAATATCTGATATATTTTCAACAACTAGAGACAGAGTTCAGGTCACCTTCGCTCCAAGATCCCCACGACCTGGAATACAGAGACTCGACACAAGAATGGTGTATTGTTTCAGACAACCTGCTTCCATGTTTTTGATTTGACCCCACATAAATATCTGCCCTCACTCAACATTCAGGTCCTGCTTTTGTGGGTGTCGTTAGAAAAGACTGGTCCTCTCACAACAGCATTGCCCTCTCCTGGTCAGAAATGGAACAGACTTCAGACATCGTGGATTATGACGTCAAATATTATGAAAAGGTACATTTTTTAAAATTCTGGAAAGGATTATTTACTGTCCTCTCTGTCTTTGTTGTTGGAAATAAAAGTCTAGAGCCCTTGTTTTTTTTTATTTTGTTTTGCTATCTATGCATTGTTTAACCCTAGGATTTGGTAATTGATAGGATCCAACCTATCTGTTGTGTGTTGTGGCTAAATGTGCTTTCGTTTGGCTTTTCTGGAAATGTGTTTGCGCTTCCAGGAGCAAGAGCAGCTGAGCTACTCATCAACACGGACCAAAGGTCCCAGCGTGGTGGTAACAGGACTCAGGCCCTCCACTGTTTATGTCTTCCATGTGCGCGCTCGTACTGCTGCTGGCTACACAGCTTACAGCCCCAACTTTGAGTTTGCAACTGCCGCTGAGGGTATGAGTGTGCATGTGTGTGTGTTTGTTCAGATTGGCACCTACAGTCTGTCACTTAGACTTGTCACAAAATCCCTTCAGACATGCATGTTGTCTCAACCTCAGTCATGGGAAATTATTGCAATTCAGCTACATTTAAAGAATATTATGGTCTTTTCTTACTCTTATATCAGCCTCAGAATGCACAACAACACACAACTGCTAGTCAAAAAGTTTATGATCAATGGAAACATTTATACAAATATTTGTTTTGTTTTTTTCTTTATAGTTGTTTCCTGACTTGGGTTCAATTAATCAAACATATGTATATCCTAAGAATCCCATATTTTTGTCTGAGATCTGCCAGTTTCTTATTATCTTAAACTTAGACCAGCTGCACTGAGATTTTCAATTCTGTGAGACAGAAGAATAGCTGAACCATGATGGCTATGTTTTATTTCCTTGTAGTTTCATACTCTGTTCTTTGACCATTGCAAGTTTTAATAATCCATATCCAAAACTTAAATTCTAGCGTCTTCAAGTTATTGTTCACAGAGCTCACACAGAAATGGGTTTGCTGCCCTACACAGCCACTGAAAAAGACACTTTGCTTTGAGAATGTATCATCTCCATGTCAAAGTAGGAATCTATAAAGGGCCACTTGGATGGTTTTATTTCTAGTCATGTTATCCTTTAAATAAAAATGAATTATTTAATGAATTGGCTGTAAATCTGAACCAGAATTTAAGGTCAGGTTACTTCATTAGTTAGATACTTTTTGTGTCATATTTAGTTCAATATCATTATCCTTTTTGTAAATGGGTGTGTATACAGAAGTCTGAAAAAGTAGGTTTTCATGTACATATTGTTCTTCCGATGAGTCAGACTTTCTTACAGTCAGCTGAAGTGGGGTTTTTATTTTCCCGTGAAAGCTGCTTTTAAAGTCTGTCTTTAGATATTGGCAGCTTTTTCACTCATTTCCTTTCCAGTCCATGTACATGTCTGTGTTTGCCAGCCTCTCAACACAGGGCCATGAATCATTTAAGCACCAAAAAGGCACCGTACTCAATGGATGAACCGATGCTGTGTCGACGCATTGGAAAGAAGTTAAAAAAGCAAAAACAGTTTTAAATCGTATCTTTCTTACTCAGACTGTTTACAAAGACACATTATTTGATGCTCTTTTTCAATAGAAATACCAAAGAGATCACAAAGAAAAATGAGATATTCTCATAGATTGAGTTTGTGTTGTTTTATGTCAGTCGACATCCTAATAATGCTGTCATATTGTTTTTCCCAATTCATTTGGATTGAGCAGAACATAAACAGGTTAAATACAGCTATTCTGAAGTTGTTCTTTATTCCATTTCAAATTATTCTAAAGGGTGTCAGATTTAGAGAGAATTTAATACTGCTTGTTAAATACGTTGCGCTTCTGTTGATTGTTCTATTGTTCTAATTATGGAGAACATTTTAGGCTTGTGGCCTTAATTGCAATATGCACTATCCAATGAGGCAGCAGCTATGTATCCTCAAACAATCTGTTCTGTTTTTAACCCCTAAAAAGATCAGTAACAGTTTACTGTTTGACTTCTCTTCCTTCCTTTCTCTCACATTCCTCAGATCCTGATATAGCTGATCAGGGTCAGGTTCTGGTGGTTGTTACGGCATCTGTAGGTGGCTTCTCCCTTTTGGTCATCCTTACCCTCTTCCTGCTCATCACTGGACGGTAGGAAATCCTTTTAGGCTTTTCTTTAGGTCTGTCTTATCAGCGCTAGACCACACACACACGCACCCACACACACACACACACACACACACACAGACAACTCTTCATCTAATAATCTCCAGAGTTACTCTACAACCAGAAGTCTGTTAATGGACTCTATTTTTTTCTTTCTTTTTTTGCCACCAAGCAGACACTCTTATTTTCCAAATGGCTGAACCAATTTTCTGCCTAATTACTCAGCATGTAATTCATGTACCAGCAGTTTGCTCCATCCCATTAACCTCCAACGGTTGGCCCAAACTCCTGTCTTCACCCCCTTTGGTTCACAAGATTTGACTATTACAGGGACATTTTAATAAACAATGAAAAATTGCCATAAAATCCCTATAGTTTGTCTCCATTTACACCTAACTGTGACACAAACTGAAATTATTATCTTTAATCACATCATTTGAAAATAGAATTAGACAAAATATCTGAACTTTGAAGTGGGAGCAATCCATTTAATTTTACACAAATAGACTTGAATATTTTTATTCGACTTGCAAAGAAAAAGCCCTGCATGCCACTTACAAACACAGGTGTGTTTGTGTAAAGCATGTCATTAAACATGAGAACGGACAGTGATTGAATGCAGAGAGATGAACCTGCTCACTTTATGTCAGATTTTTAATTGATATCTCCTTTGATATTATCAATCACAACATTTGATGATGATGTAACTGGCGATTACAGTCTCTCATCATGAACGTGCATGGGGCAGCAGGTGACAGTGGGCAGTAAAACAATCTCTGTTTTAACAGAAGCCTTCAGTAAAACAGTGAATATTTGGGAAAAGCAGCCATCTGCTTCCATCATCTGGGGGCTGAAAGTAAAAAAACTAAAGCACAAACAGACACAGCGACATTATGCCAGAGTGTTCTATGTGAAGGACAAAAGAGACAAAGATAAACACCAGTAAATTACTGAAATAATGAAAAAAAATACATGGAGAGGAGTTCAGTGCATCTCGGGAGGTGCTCCAACAGCCAAAGACTCACCGGCATAACTAAAGGGGATCAACCAAACCAGCCAACCAGTGGCAGCTGGTTACATGACAGGAGTGTCTTAACTGAAGGCAATCTCTATGCATCAAACTCTGAGTCTGTTATATTGCAGTGGACTTTTAAAAGACATCTTTAAGAATTTAGAAGAAGAGGTTGGTTTGACAGGAGAAATTAAGATTAAACCAAAGCCACTTCAGACAGAGGAGAAATAGTTCTTATCAGAACACTAAATAACCATTATAGATCATCTGGAGTTTTTTTCAGATTTTTTTTCAACATTAGTTGTTACTAATTTACTAAGTTACTGGTTAACAAATTTGTTGTTAAAACTGTACGCTCTATTTATTTATTCATTAATCTATATATCTTTTGGAATCACTGACACAAAGTGCTCCCTTTTTGGTGATATTATGACAGAAAATAAAGTTGTTCCCAGAAACTAGTTTTTAATGTGAGCCAAAGGACAGTGCCTGGCCAAAAACAATTAAAAGGTTTCTTTCTGTAGAACTAGATGCCAAGGAATATCAATGCAGACGATGTACGTGGCAAGGAAGTGTCTTTTAAGTTCAAAGACAAAAACCTTAGCCTCTCAGAGTTTTGGGCTGCAGAGAATAAACACAGTAGAGCAAATACAGTCCTCTGTGGTCCCTTATCAAAGTGTTTTTCTTATGAACTCCTGAAATGAATATATTTTATTATAAAACATCCAGTAGCAGGTAATTGCCCCTTTTGCTGAATAGCTGCGTTATGTTTTTACTTCTATCCTGATTCTTGCTTTTCATGGACTCTGCGCTTTTAAAGTCAAGCATGTTTGCCCTGAATGATTGTTGTGAATACAAATAAAACTTAGAAAATTCATAGGAAATGTCCAAAGTTTATAAGTTCCATTGCCTATCAGAGTGAATCGTAATAAAGAGGAAGAGCATATTTAGTTTTTTGTTCTTTGTTATTGTTGGTAGTGACTTCTTTGCACAGCAAAAAGCTAACCATTCACAGACAGATTTAAGCAGAACTTGTGTGCGTGGTAATTAAAATAGTTTTTAGGCAGTTTTTGTATAAACAAATGTTCACTTTCTCACCTTTTGTCCCTTCAGTCTGTTTTTGTTTATTGATAATGTCAGCAAAATAACTTGGTACAGGAAAAAGAGAGGATCATTAGCAGAAAGAGACTCTGAGGTGTAAAGGGCATTTTCATCTGATGAAGAGAAATGTTCTGACTCTTTGATTGTGTGCTTCACCCAAACAGATGTCAGGGATACATCAAAGCCCGGATGAAGTCGGAGGAGAAGAGGACTCGCTTCCACAGTGGGCATGGTACTTCACCTAAACTGTGTTTTGTATTGATTTTGTTTTTTAATTTTATGCAGGTTTGGGTTCCTTTCAAATTTCAAGTTTTCTTTGTGGACACTGCAGGTTTATTCATGGTGAATCATAAAAAGGAAACAAACTATTTTGCTGTAACTGCTGTGTAAAGTCTATGCTTAGGGAACAAATATTATAACCTGCAAAGTTTTATTTAATTCAACAAAGAGAACCAATCATATATTAACTTGACTGAGCCAAGGGATTAGTTGTAAATGGGATTTGCTTTCATCTTGAAATCGTAAAATATTTATGTGCTGTCAAACCTAAGACATGACACAACTTTATACTTTGCACTCAGTGTGTATGTTTATATATAAAATTATTGGGGAAGGTTCACCTGCAGAGCCTCAGCAAACAAAAAACAGCTTTGGTGTCAGCATATTCGCAAAATGGTACATAAACAAGCCCAACTTTCCGAAATCCAACACAGTATGCTGTCAACTTTACTGCATGTTCTGTACTGGATGCACAATCGTAACGAGTTCTCCAACTCCCAAAGCATTCTCAGTGGTCACTCTCCCTGAGCTGAATTTATTTAGATCTTGTATTTTGTTCTTGTTAAGCCTCAAAACAAAACAGTCTTGAAAGATGCTTTTCAACAAGCTATAACAGAAGAAACAAAAATTCTGCTTATTGACTTTTCATGTGGATTTTTAAGGCTTGCGGCTAGTTATGTCTGCAAAGTGAAAACAACAGTGTCTAAAAAGATTTAACAGAGGAACCTACAATACCAACCATGAAATGAGTATTACAACCCTACATCAATTATATGTGATCTGCATTAAGTTTCACTGACTTCCAGAACAAACACACAATCCAATTATGAAAAATGTGTCTATTCCAGCTAATATCTGACAAAGTAAAACACAAAAGCACCTCTAACATAATTTTTTTAGTCAACTTTTCAATCTTGATCTCAATAATCAAACTGGATTTGATGCTATTAAGGTCTCTGAGCAGCTTAATGCAGCATTTAAAAAAATAAACAACATTTTCTTTTCTGTCAAATTTCACTATCTCAGCATTGTGTCTTATACTTGCTCTCATAAGTTTTCAAATGCACTGAATACACCCAGTTAATTATTTTTGGTTATGGTGACACACTGATGCTCGACACCTATTTCTATCTTAAACCTTTCTTTTTAGCATTTAGGCAGCACCTAACCCAATGGGCTGCCAGCCCATTGCTGGACAGTCAGAATTCTGCCCTCTGGTTAAGAAATTACAATATTTCCCTAACTATTGGGCTTCAATGAAGATAAAACAGAGTTATTGATTTCCCCCAAGGGCAGGACATGTCCTTTTTCAGGAACAATAGGTTGTCCTGCATTTTTGGCAACAATTTTGGCTGAGCTCATCTTTGATCCATTGTCTAAAGCGGCGTAAGTGAGGCTCCAGAGACAGCTCTTCTGCCATGTACAGCGCTGATTAAAGGATTTCTGAAGATGAACATATAGAATTGCAAAGACAAATATTGTGATGATGGAACACTATGAAAAATTACATAATTTCTTTCAACATGCTGATATGTAATATAAAAATTATTATATATATATATATATATATATATATATATATATATATATATATATGCACCGTGTACTATACACATATTACAGTGTTTCATGTACAAAATATTAATCATGACGCTTTTGTTCTTTTCAAACTGGGTTTTTCAATGTCAACCCAGTGGATTTATGATGAGGGTTCTATTGTTGAATGTTTTCTTTTTCTGTTTCTTATTTTCTTTCTATTTTGTGAAAAATCGACACAATTTGTAGTATTGTTTAATGACTCTTCCAAACCAACCGTTTACTATACACGGTTTAGGTTTTCGTAGGTTACTTTCAAACACTATTTGATTTGCCTTTGGATAAAAAATATTTTTCTAAGAGGGTCTTTTTTAACACTTAGACTAATTAGAGTTGAATATTTAATCTGGCACACTGTAAAATGTGAAATATCAACAACAAAATAGCAAAACAGAAATAGCTGATTTTCCAACCAGTTTTTCCATGTTTGTTCTTTGTCATTGTGAGCCGATGAAACTCTAGACAGACAGGGGATGCCAGCAGACTCAACAAACTGCTAGGAAAAAGCCTCTTTTTTAATAGATGAGTTTTTTCACCCTGGAGACTGGGGGGGAGTATAGACTCCTTACTGGAATCCATCTCAGACAAAACTTTCAACCTTCTACAGTGTGTACTGACACAGCTACAAAGTACACTTAGTCCCCTGCTCATCTGCTGGAGGAATGCCATGCGTGGTTCTAGTCATCATTTGTGCCAGTCATCATGCACAGCGCTCATTGCAGCAATGTCCCCAGCCTGAGCTAAACAGGAAGTCTCACTGCCTGCAATATCTTTTATATACTGCTTTTGGGCTTTTTTTTCAACACTTTTTTTCCTTTTCTTCTCCTCATATTTCCCCATCTCTTGACAAATAGCAGAGAAAACTTACAACATAATGGAAGCAAGTGCTCCACCAATTATGGACTCATGCTGTTCAGTGAAGATTAAATTCTCCAAGCACAGTTTGAACAAAAATACATAGTTATGTGCAAAAGGACAATTGATTGTTTGTGTAGCCATACAGTGTTTTGTTTCTTTATAGACGTAAACAAAGCAGTGTATAGAATAATCTGCATGAGGAAAGCATATGAACTTAATGTTCACAAGCCAGATGTCAAATCTGAAATTGCTTTTTCAAACATGTCTTGTACGGTCAGCACTGAAGCATCAAAAACTAAAGTTGCTGTTTCTATATTAAGGGGTGAGATTGCTTAGGAAAAGAATCTCTGTCTGATGTCATCTACATTCTAGTGACTATGTTATAGCCTCTCCAAGTCGTGTGTGTGTAATGAGCAAAGTGCATAGCTTTCCTGTAGATACACTCAAACAGAGCTTTGAACAACTAGAATACTATCCAAGGCCCCTGTATAACGTTTTCAGGATTTTAGGGGAGTTTTTAACTGGTAACACATGTCAGATCAGCCCACTTTGACACTAAGTAAACTTTAACCAGTCTCAGATCTTTAACACTGATCAGATCTTCAGAAATGGTAGTTTTGTCACAGTTTTCCATTGTATTTCAACACACAACACCGAAAATCTAACTTTACGTCTCTTGTTTTCCAGTTCCATTCTCTGGAATAAAGACCTATGTGGATCCTGACACATATGAAGACCCCACTCAGGCTGTAGAGGAGTTTGCTAAAGAGATAGACCCCTCCTACATCTGCATCGACAGAGTGATTGGCGCTGGTAAAAACATTTTTGCTACTAATCAATGAGTTCTCATAATTTGTCACTTTATAGACCACTTGGTACACGCTGTAATTGTTCTAAATATAACCAGCTAATGACACTGAACACAAATTTATAAAACTGTCCCGGTGACGGATGTATTTTTTTTTTTTTTTTTTTTTGTGAGGGTTGTCTGGGATTTGTGACAAAGACATGATCTCATTTTATGTTGAGAAAACCCTTAAAACGAAAATGGAACTGCATTTGACCCTGATTTTAGATTTTTATTGCCACTTAGAGCAGCTGATTTAAAATAGATTCATGCCATTATAGCTGAAAGAATCACAGTTAGAATTGCCAATAATAAATAAGAGTGCTTAATGGTTCATTACCTCGAAAGACAGACTCTGCTTTTAAGCCATCAGAGTGCTTATGCAAATTCACCTTTTGATGGGTCTTCATCACAAAGTCTCCATCTAGTGGTTACAGCATGTCATTATTTGTTTCCAACATGGCTGAAATCTCATCAGCCTTTTGATTTAAGTCTCAGTTTTAAAAAGTTGAGGACTTGTGGAGTTTTCATGAAATAATGAATGATTCTGCTGTGTTTTTGCAGGTGAATTTGGAGAAGTGTGTAGTGGTTGTTTGCGTATACCTGGCAGGAAGGATGTCGCCGTAGCAATAAAGACACTTAAAGGTGGCTTTATGGAGCATCAGAGACGCGAGTTTCTGCGTGAGGCCTCAATCATAGGACAGTTCAACAACTCCAACATCATCAGGCTGGAGGGAGTAGTCACCAGGAGTAAGTGCTCCATATGTCTGTCTGATTATGTGTGCCAGTGTTTCTCGACAATTTTCTGCTATTTTTTCTCTGCCTATGGAGGCTCTGAGGTGCAACAGAATCTGAAAACACATTTTTAAAATCGGCATTCAGTGCTTCACATCTTTTGGGGAGGATGAGAGTATATCACAAACTTGAAAATATAATGGAGAACATTAGAACATTGTAAAGAAAAAAAAGATAAAGCGTTGTATTTAGTTTGTTTTCTGCCACCATATCTTTTTGTCATTGTCATTTATGTCATGTATTTTATTCTCTCTCCACAGGTAGACCGGTAATGATTGTAGTGGAGTACATGGAAAATGGAGCACTGGACACTTTCCTTAGGGTGAGAGTGCACGTTTACACATGTAGCCTGTTTTCTATTAAAAACTTCAGTCCATTCACATGGCCTTTGTCCCCCACAGACACGCGATGGTCAGTTCACAGTGCTCCAGCTTGTGGGCATGCTGCGTGGCATTGCAGTCGGCATGACCTACCTTTCAGACATGGGATACATTCACAGAGACCTGGCTGCTCGTAACATCCTGGTGGATGAGAACTTGGTGTGTAAGGTCTCTGATTTCAGCATGTCCCGTGTCCTCGAGGATGACTCTGAAGCCACCTACACAGCAACAGTGAGTGTGGATCCGGTAAACACTTTCATGGTCAAACAATGTGTGGAAATCACAAATTGGTCATATTTTGTGTCAGGGTGGGAAAATACCAATACGCTGGACAGCACCAGAGGCTATTGCGTATGGAAAGTTTTCCTCGGCTAGTGATGTCTGGAGCTATGGGATTGTCATGTGGGAAGTGATGTCATATGGAGAGAGGCCTTACTGGGAAATGTCCAATCAAGATGTAAGCTGCTGAACACACCACAAAAACTGAACCATGACACAACATGTCCTATATCGATGGGAACTTTTGTGATTTGAAATTCAACATTCTCTTTGCTAATATTGATTTCAGGTCATTTTATCCATAGAAGAGGGATATCGCCTCCCAGCACCCATTGACTGTCCTGTGAACCTGCACCAGTTGATGTTGCACTGCTGGCAGAAGGAGTCTGGCCAACGGCCACATTTCACTGACGTGCTCTCTTTCCTTGACAAAGTCATAATCAGTCCCAGTAATCTACTGAGTTTGGTCAATGATGCCCTGAGGTCAGTGTCATGGAGCTTTTCTGCATCCAGTAACACAACAACAAACTTTTCAGTTTTGCATGATGGTTTGAAGCTTATATTTTATACATTAAACTTAAACCAGCTACTCTAAAGGCAAGTGAAGGAATGTTTTGAGGAAAAAAAAGTTTTTTTTTCTGTCAAGTAATAAAATTATATTTACTAATCACCCCAGCAATTTTGCGGTTGGAGTAACTATCCTTTTTTTTTGTCCTTTCAGTTTCCCCGACTCCCCAGAGGAAATGCCAGACTACCCTCTTTTCATCTCTATCGGCGACTGGCTTGATTCCATCAAAATGAGCCAGTATAAGAACAACTTCCTTGCTGCAGGATACACGACACTGGATTCTATTTCCACCATGAGTATAGAGTGAGTGGAGCCAAATCATACTGCTGTCATGGTACCTAAAAGCATAGTAAGAGCAAAATTAGTAGCATCAAAGGATGTTGAAATAAAATGGATTTCCGTACTGTATATTTTGTCCAGATTAATTTGTTTTATATTGGTAAAGTTTCTTCAACATTTGATTATTTAATGCTTTCTTTTTTTAATGAATCACCATCATAAGTGAATACAGCATATCAGTGAATACAGCATATCAAATTTGACATATTAATTTCATTTGTAAATATCACAAATGTTTTTAATGGTTGAGACAGGGGCAGTGGGGTGCCCCTAACTAACTGCTTTGGTTTTAAAAGTGAAAGTTTTTCACCTTTTCTGTTCCTGTCTCCAGTTCCTCGCTGCTGATATCTAGTTAAAGAAACTAGAATCCTAGAGAGTATTACAGTGCTCTTCCTCTTCATGTGCCTGTTCGTTGGTTTACCGTTATTTTTCCAAAACTCTCGAAAAATGTCCCGTTTCTCCTTTCCAGTGACATCAAACGCATTGGGGTCAGTTTGATTGGCCACCAGAGGAGAATCATAAGCAGCATACAGTCTCTTCGCCTGCAGCTTCACCACATCCATCAGAGTGGCTTTCAAGTGTAAGACCAGAGCAGGAAATCAGACTGTGTTTCTACAAGAAGCTGGAGTTCCTTGGCATCATCATTCAACAAACTGCACTAACACCAGACTGTTTGGTGTTGCCGGTACCATATGCTGCTCATGAGAGAACGGTCCGCTACTAGACTACATGGTGTCTAGTTAACATGTGCTCATCATCTTACGGATCATCTCATGGACAGACTCCACAACAGCCCACCTCTTTCAATGTTGGCCAAATATGGTCTCTTTATTATCTCAGCAAGTTCTAGCATTCACTTGAATTTAGGACTTCTTCTCTCTAGTGTCTATTCAATTGTTCACCAATACCTCTTCTCTTTCCAAGTGACAATCCAATGGTTTTGTTGACTTTGAATGGTTTCAAGTCTGTTACCTCATGACCAGGTGAGATGAGAGGTGGATATATCTTGTGGTGATCTATGGACACTATGTGGATTTAATAATTCCAGCTGGTTTAGGAAACAAGTTGCGAAAAAATAAAGATTGACCAAGAATGGTAATTACACTTGTGTTTTCTGAACTGAAGACCGCTGAATGTCAAAAGATTTTATAGAAATGTATGTTCTCTCCACATGATAATGCAGTATGTCTTGTATATAAAGTCTTGTGAAAGTTGTATGTTTTATTCAGTGGGTTTGTTCCTAATAAACAAGTCTATTTTAATACTTTCTCTCCACCTTTAACCACCTCATGTTCAAACACTGATTTGTCATTATAACAAGCCCTTTATTAGTTATGCATGCCAATACAAAGCATTGAGGTATCTTTACATAAAATATAGATTAAGAAATATTGACACAGTGATTTTTTTAACCACAATTGCTAAATAATTTCAGTTGGCTTGTGTTTCACTTTGATTATTCTCTTATGAAAGGTGCATGTTGCCCTTATGCAGTTACGTGTTTTTATTTTGAATGTTTAAAGCTCATTTGAGGATTTAGATTAACTTTAAAAAGCTCTAAAGAAGAGGATCGCTACCTGGAAGGAATTTGATTGGTAAGAATCTTGAAGTTGAGCTCAGATAGAAATGTTATTTTTTTAAAGATACATCTAGTTATTTAGTCTTTCAAAACGTTTCTTTGAGAAATTCAACCTGTTGAAGATGAGCGTTTTTAAAGCCTATTATTTCTCACATTTCACATTTCTCGGTGAGTTTTTAATTACTTTATGACATTAAACTCCCAATAAAATAAATAATAAAATATACGCTTGAAAAGATCAAAATTATATTTTGCCTCTGTCAAAAGTGCAGATCGTTCCCACTTCAATTTCAGATGCAAAATAAAAACAACATAACGACCAATCACAGCAAAGATGTCCTCCTGTTGCCTAACAACATGAGCACCAATCGCAGTTGACATTTCTTACAGCTGATCCAATATCTCAGCCAAAACCACAGTGTCCCTTCTGTTGGGTTCCTCCAGTGATCCATTGTAACACCGGCCATATTACCTGGGTGGCAGACTTGAGTTCGCACGGTGGTATCCCAGCAACAAAAGTGTAAATAACCCGGAGTTTTTTGTTTTTTTTAGGAGGGAGCATGATACAGAAATGAATGAAACGCTTCTTTAACACCAGGTCACAAATTAAATACGTTGAGGCAGCATTGATACAATTATCAACGCAAGATCCCACAAGCAAATTTCAGGTAAATTGCTGTATTTCTTTATTGTTTAACACAGTTTAATACAAGCTAGCGCTAGCAATAGCGTGCCTAGCTTGCGTGTTAGCTTTATCTGTAGCACCAATAGTAAATTTGTTTTGATTTGTTGCGAAAGATTAGCGTACTAACTAGCACCTAGTAATACTTGCTGTTCTTAAGACTGCTTGTGTCATGGTTAAGCAGTGCTGCCGTTAGTAGCTTAATGTTTGCGCTGGCATGCTAGTAAGAATAACAAGAGATTAAATAGCTGTTAGCAACTTGTAAATACCTCTGCATCGAGTAGGAGCTCTATTAGCCATTAAGCTAACGGTTGGACTCTCAAAACGTTAACCTATGACAGCAGCAGTGAGCCGTTTTTTTCAGAAAGTCAGCGAACAGCGACAACCAAACATACGTTTCTGTAAATGCAATTTTTTTTTAGTTTTGTCGATTATTCTTGATTTTTGGAGGTATAGATTTAAAATGGTATTTATTCAAGGGAAATTTAAACTTGTGAGACGTTCAAGAAAAAACAGATTCACCCACATATTTTTAACTTCGTTCATTAGTTTATTTTTTCAATACATTGCTGTTTAAAAGGTCAGACTTTAAAACTCTTATGTAGACGTGTTATGTATTTGATATTGACTGTAATTTCACAATTGGTCGTTGTTGACATTTTTCTACCGAGAAACTCGTTTGCAAATAGTTTTGGAATCGAACTTTCATGTTGAAAAGACTCCGGGACTCTTGAAATAATTCTGTGATACATTGAATGGTGAGGTCGGACATTGTGTTTTTTAAATGGTATTTAATACTGAAGAAGGCTCCTGACTGACGAAAACGAATGAAGTATTTTCGTGGCCATGGTTCATGTTGAGGAGAAAGGTTTCAAAGTTATTTTTATTTAAACATGCCTATGTTTATGCATATTCAGTTTAATCTAAGAGTTCATAATTTTGTCTCTCTCTTGTAGATCCAGCACGCATCTGATGGTTGCTGGCTAGCCAATGGGGCTGTTTGACAAGTTGGTTGGGTGGCTGGGGATAAAGAAGGAGGTCAATGTGCTGTGTCTAGGTTTAGACAACAGTGGAAAAACCACTATCATCAACAAACTCAAGCCTTCCAATGTAAGTCTTCTCGTTATGACTCTGTTATACGAATGTACCCTCCATTTTTAATTACAATATTACAAAAGAAGTTATATCTATATATAATATAGATATATGTTGAAGTTGTGTGCTCTCATTTTAATAATTTGTATTTCCCCTTTAGGCCCAGGTACAAGATATTGTCCCAACAATTGGTTTCAGCATAGAGAAGTTCAAGACTTCCAGGTAGCTATCGTAACATAATAAAACGTTGATCAAATCATTATGGATAATAAATGCTTCAGATTTAAGTATTATATGGTAATTTTTGTAGACTAAACTTTTTCAGGAGAAGGAGAATTTGCACAATATTTGCTCTCTTTTCTTTTAGCCTTTCCTTCACCGTCTTTGACATGTCTGGTCAGGGCAGATACCGAAATCTTTGGGAACATTACTATAGGTGAGTACAGTGGGTTGCTGAAGCAAAGTCTTCTTACCTAATTATAACTTTTTCTTTCATATGTATGTTTGTATGCTTGCATGCATGTGATATATGTCTATATGTATAGATTTATAGATGTCTATTCATGTCTGTTCTCCTCTCAGGGAAGGTCAGGCTATCATCTTTGTCATTGATAGTGCAGACAAACTGAGGATGGTGGTAGCCAAAGAGGAACTGGATACATTACTAAATCATCCCGGTAAGCTCTTGTTCAACCTTATAATACTTTTTGTTAGCCAGTGTTTTATTTTTTGTACAGTTTATTTAATGAAATAGGATAAAGATAACTGTTTTTATCCAAAAAGCTTTGTTTTCATTATGTGCAATGACTCTGACAGTCTGTGTCTCTTTGCAGATATTAAACACAGGAGGATTCCCATCCTTTTCTTTGCAAACAAGATGGATGTCAGGGATGCCCTGTCTTCTGTCAAGGTCTCACAGCTGCTCTGTTTGGAGAACATCAAAGACAAACCCTGGCACATCTGGTATGAGTTTGGATGAGCATTTAGTTTTTACTTTCTAGGCCTGTGTTCCAGAACCAGAGAATTGCACAAACAGTTGTGAAGTTGTCGGATATTAAAAGTAACCTACTTGGAAGTAGCGCAGTGTTGTGTTAGCATGCAGGCACAATAATGTGTCTTCACTGCCTTTGCTTAACTTAGCTAAGACTAGTCAACTTCCCCACAATGATGCATCAACAGATACAGTGACTAGTCAGTACAAAGTAAAAAATCATGGTCACTTGTCAATCCTTTTATGGTCTTTGTTTAGTAGTTCAAATATAGGAGAAAAATCCAATAGTAGTTTTGTGATTTCTGTCCATCCCACCAAAAGAAGCTGCTAACATTCAGGAGGTTTTTGGGACTAGTTAAGCAGATACATTTAAGGTTGACATGGAAATCTGTTAGAGTGGAGCTAAACAGTCACCTAAAGGTTTCTTGCTTTTTACAGTTCTGTGTGTTTATGTTTTTTAGTGCCACAGATGCTTTGAAAGGAGATGGTTTACAGGACGGAGTCGACTGGTTACAAGGTGAGAGATTTGATTGGCATGCAAGTCACAATGGGAGAGCTTTTGTGAGGTTAGCTCACAGTTTGGTTGACTTTTTGTTACCTACATTGACTGAAACCTTTTCATTTAGCAATAAATGCATTTAATCAGTGTTTATCCGGGGCTCAGTGTGTGTTTAGATTTACATTACTCTTATTACTTCCAGCTAAATACACCATAAGCTTCGTGCTGCATGCATACCTGTTTGATTTAGTAGATATTCTTCTTTACCAATCTTTTTCACAGCCTAAAATGAATGTCATGTTTTGTTGCATTTGTGAAGTTGCTGGAATGTTAAAGTTATGGTTAGAAACAATGTTCTGCTCAGTGTAATTATGCTGCCATTAAATCCCCAGTGTAATCAGTTTATATAGCTGTGTGTCACTGCTCCCAACAGCTCATGAGTGAACAACCTCTCAATCCTACAGATGTGGGACATCCAAATGAATCCATTACAATGGATCATGTCTTTCCCCTTATTGTTGCAATATTTGGTGATAAAATTCAGCTTTGTTTCAGTGTCCCACACCATCATTTTCTTTTTTCTCTTTCTGTTATTCTGTTTTGTTTAACACTGTCCTTCAAATCCTTTCATAGATCAAATTATACAGTGAGTATTGATTGATTCCTAAATGTTGTGTTATTTACTGTGTTACTTAGTATCTTAGAAAGTTGCACTCTATAACTCCAAACCCTACCTGTGTTTGAGACCAGTGTTAATCAGAGCCAGCTTTGATGTGTATGTACACCTGGAGACCCCCTGTGTGCAGATATCCTCTAATGAATCATGTTGGTTCTCTCTGATGTCAAACTAATGAAAGAGCACGTCCACCTGAGAGTTATTTTTAAAATTTAAGGGATTGGAATCTGTGTTGATGAAATTAACAAAACTTTTGAAAAACCCCAAATAAAAACAAACCAAGCTTTACAATTTTAGCAAGCTTTGTTTGTGTGATACAAAATACTGTATCTTAACCTTAAGTAATTTATGTACCTGGAGCTGCAAAACAATCAGGATTTTAAAATCCTCTCACTACCTCTTTGGGACCTGACCGACATTCGGAAAGGTTGGCAAGTCATTTGCAGAACAAATCTTTCTCTGTCTGAAATCACAGAAGTCAAACCATCCAGAGGAACGACTACACTACAGCACTACAACATGATCCATTTTTTCCTTTGTTGACACATACGACCTGCATCCCCATATCCTCCCTTCTGAGACCCCATCCCTTTAATGTGTTTTACTAATTAACTGCGTTTCTCATGTTTTCAGATCAAATCAGAACAATGAAAACATGAGAGCATGAAGACTGACCAGAGTGTGCAGCAGCGTGCATGGAAGTGTTTCATAAAGGAAGAGTGGGAACTGTGTTTTTAATGGCCTATTTAGATGGTTTTTGGTTTGTGTTTTGTTCATTCTCTGGTACCAGATGTGGAAGTGTAATGCATCCACTGACATGACATGAGAAATGCACAAAAAGTGGCATTTATTTAGACAAAAGCTTACAAACACATATCATCCTCATTGTTTTTGCACTATTTGTGTACCAGCGACTACAATTCACCATAGCTGCTCTGAAAGCAGGTAACATGATTGTCTTTGCTATAAAGAGTACTTTGAATTTGTTGTGAAAAAGTTTTCTTCGTGTAGTCCCTAGTCTTTTGTTATGGGCCCAACATTGTAGGAATGCTGAAAACCTTTTTTTTTTTTTTTCAGTTGACTCCAGTTGTTTGCTTTTAGCTGTTGTGTTGCACCAAGTCAACAGGGACTCTAATCTGCAGATTTATGTTTCAGAACATCTGACATCACTCTGAAGACCTTATGCCAAATCCTCTCTTTTCTTCTTCTTGCTATCTGCTTTCTCTCAGGGCATCTGTAGATATATTGTTATTTTTGTTTAAATTTAAAAGAAGTCAGCTTTTCCTTACACAGGGAATGTTTCTGGTATTTGTTTTACCAATGCAAGAAATTCAATGTGTTCCATTCCGCTGCCTTTTTTCCCAAACACTCAAAGCACTCCGTCTCTCTACCGCATTAAAAAGCACATCCACTTTGTCTTTGTGCTGCAGCTAATGTGACTTGTTGGAGGAAAACTGTTCGATCTTCAGCAACAATGAAAGACAAAAAAACAGTCCATGCTGGACTTATTTTAATTCTTCTGTAAGCTTTTATAAACACTAGCTATTATCTGTAAAGTGATTGTAAAGTGTGAAATTGGCCTCTAAGGTTTGTTAATAAATGTCTAAACATATCATACAACAGATCATTTTCAACTAGTGTTTTTTTATTTTTTTTATCTCATCACTAGGGGGGAAAAAATGCTTCGGTCAATTTACTCCTGATACTCCAGAGAATCAAAGGCCGACCGTAATAAGCATTCGCTCAGTCCAGGGAAAGTTTACGATCAAAGTCACTGATCCTTTTATTTCTTCTGACTGAAAGCTTGCATTGCATGCATCACGCGCCATCTGATGGTGTTTGTAAAGCTCCGTGGCTTCAGCCCACATCCCCTGAAATGTATGTCTGTGTTTTTTCTGTTTTGTTTTTTAGGAATGCATTATCTGGAAAAAAGAAAAAAAAAAGCTACCTGTAAGTAAAACATTTAATCTATACATCAAGCCACACTTAACACCATGTGAACCAGCAGAGATCCTCACACTGGTATGGTGGACCAAAATATGGCTGCCCTCAGTCAATGTGGTGAAATTTCCACGTGGTATTAATTAAAAAAATATTCTTCAGGCCATATCAGCCCATCACACATGGTTTGTGAAAGCTTCATTAATTGTGGCTACACCTATTCTCACAGCAACTCCCTCTCTTGAGAGAACTTTCCGTCATTTAGGCTGGATCTTTGGTCGGTGATGTCAGACTCTTTTGATGGTTTTGCTTTCTAAAGATGTCTTTGCATGTCTTTAATATGTTTTAAAATCTGAGAAATAGAAAAAAAAAACGCAAAACTTTAAATACTTTAATCATGAGGGCCTCAAAATTGATTCAAGGTTCAAGGCAGCTGCTGCAAAGTGAATGAAAAGATGAATGGCGTTTTTATACCTATAACTAAAAATCATGTTTGAGTTAAGAGTTTAGTTTCATGAGCATTAAGGACATTAAAGTGTCATTTGTTGGATATTTTTAAATCTAGGATATTTCAGCTTCTTTAGGGTTTCCTGTCTTTGAGTTCACTTCATACAACAGAAGCTTTAGATTCTTCCCTCTAAGTCTATGTTCTAAAGAGCTGTTTGTGTAATTTATGTTTTTTTGTTTTTTGGCCTTCCATGTGGGTTTTCAGAGAATAAATGTGGAAAACTAAACTGGCTTTATGTCTGTGTGAGTCTCTGCGTGACGTGTCTTGTGTTAACCAGGAGAAGTCTTCTGTCTCCGTCACTCTCGCTCTCTTCCAGACACCTCATGCTCTGCCAGCAACAGCTGCTCATTAAAGCTCCAATCCCCAGCTCCGAACAAATCGTTTGCTTAAACTTTTAACATTTATATTAGGAGGCCTTCTATCACAGGGCTGCACAGCACAATAGTTGTGTTAGTTTTGTTCTATCCATGTGTTGATCTGTGATTGGGGGATGTTTTTATCATGGGATCTTTTGGACTAACTTAGGCATGTGGAAGTCTAACCCCAGTGGTTGGGCTGGATAGAAGTGCCGAGGCTGTGTGCCAGCCATCTGTCCAGCACATAGTTAGAGTTACCCAGCTGTCTGCAGGATGTTTTAATGTTGTTCCACCAACATCTTTACACATCAGCGGGTCAGAAGTCAAACAAACCACGTCGGTTTTAATCCAATGAGTGAACTTCATCTATACAGTATAGTCTGTGTACACACAATGACATGTTCAGCAGTTTGACTCAGATACGATTCACAGGGTGCTATGTGAGACATACCTGAATCATTTAATCATATTCAAGCTTTTATTGAGACAAATCAGTGCTGAGAGGGAATGTTGGATTTGATTTGAGCGAGGAGCAAAGTGACAACAAAGCATATTTATTAAAAAGCCATAACATATGCTGAATTGTGTCACACAACACAATAACTAACTAAAGACATCTTTTGACTATGACGTAACTGAAAAATAAAATATCTTTAGATTCTTATAAATAATGGAACAAGAAAGATTTGAACAGGAGACCAGTTTTTTGGCCGCTGTCCGTGGTGCTGAAACACTTCCGTTTCTTATTCAAAAGAGGGCGCTGCATCTGTTCATCCAAACAAACTTGGCATCCTTTCCCAAATCCAGTAAACGTATGAACCTTCTCTATCCATTCCAAGTGCAAGACTGTGGTGACAACCTTTGCATGTGTGTGTGTGTGTGTGTGTGTGTGTGTGTGTGTGTGTGTGTGTGTGTGTAGGTGTGTGTCAGGACTTTTTAAAAGTCAGGTTGTATCATTAAGTCTCTCTGCGTGTTCCTCAGGATCTTTCTTAATTGGATGCCTGCCAGTTTTGACAAGCACAGTCCAGACGAAAAGGACCTCTGGCTGAGGTGGCCATTAAGCACACACAGCTCACTGATACATATCCTGAAAGGCAGAAACACTCAAGGGTGTTGTAATTGCTTTAAAGGGGAAGTCCAGTTCTGGTCCGCAAATTTCAACTGGTTACCTCATGGAAAACGGAGAACGCTCATCATCTCTGCAATCCTTCAGAGATCGACTTTATTCTGACTACATATAGACATGTTTAAGTAAAATTGTGTTAAGATAAGCCTGATATGAAAGTAGTAAACAAATAGTCGAATGATGCTGATTTTGGAAGAGCTTGGAAATATTTTTTGAGTTATTTGCAATGCTTAAGAACAAGATAAGAACTGGAATCAGCAATGATTTGATTAGGTTTTTGTAAAAAGGAAATAAATATCTGAAGCTTATTAATTAAAGGAATCTCTGTACTGTCCACCTCTGAGATCAGCTGGCACATTGTGACGTGTTTCTATGCAAGATGCTCGTTAAGAGGGACGTTTAATCTCTGACGCGTGTCTCTGTCCTCTGACGGCATCTGCCTCCTTAAAAGCTTCTGTAATCTAACGGACAGACCCCCACCAGCGTTTCAGTTGTTTCAGTTGACTGTTCCTGACGGTGCACAGCCACACGAGGATCCACAGACCTGTAACTCTTGTGCTCTGTTTTCCTCAGGTTCCCCAGCACATGACTCCAGACATTTCCGAGGTGCGTTTTGCATGTTTTTTTCTTTCTTTCTCTCCCTTTCTCTCCCTTTCTTTTTGTTGTGGTTAGTTTTTAATAAACCTATTCAGTTACTTTGTGAAATATCACTTTGAGGCAACTGTGTTGGCAAACTATATAAAGTGTGTTTCTTCTTATCAAATCGTGACTCCCGTGCGTAATAGTACATTTTACGCATTCATGGGTATGTAGCTGAAGATGAGACAACAAAGAAAAAAACGCAGCAGTCCATACAGAACCTTGAACCGACATTGACCTTGGCTGTTTTAACATTAAATCGATCAAATATGTTTGATTTGTTTCAATTTATATAATGATTGAAGACTTATAATGAAGGTTAAACGGCCATTGTACATTTTTTATTGTTATTCTACTGTAAATTAAACAAACTGTTACAACAGAAATGTTCAAACTTTACTTAAATATCTTTTATCTTTAAAAGCACATATTTAAGCAAACTTTGCGTCTGTTTATCACTCCAATACGCACCGTATCTGGGCTACTTTTGCTTTTATTTTATCTTATGTTTTATTTTATCATTTTAGAAAGAGAATTATGGTGAATATAGAAACATAACTTGCCACATTGCACTTAAAGTCACTTGGTGCGTTTGTTCAGATGCGTAACGGTTGTTGGTTTTCCCTTCCTGCGCCAGGTCTTCATGCCTTCCAGCTCCTAGCAGAGGACCGCCGTGACAATGACCATCCATGTAGAGGGGCTTGTGGCTATCGCGGTCTTTTACCTGCTGATTCTGGTTGTCGGCATCTGGGCAGCATGGAAGAACAAACATTCCGGGGAGGCGGAGGGCACCGACCGCAGCGAGACCATCATGGTCGGAGGCAGAGACATTGGATTATTTGTCGGTGGATTCACCATGACGGGTAGCTTAAAGTTGTTTTTTTACTCAGCAAAACGTTTTAATAACTGATTCCCTTGCACTTTTGCTCAGTTTCGCATTAGAGTTATATGAATAAGTTGAGTTGGTGAAACCAAACAGAAGGATTTTATCTTCTGCTTTGTGTGTGCGTTTTCCAGCCACTTGGGTTGGAGGAGGATACATCAATGGCACAGCTGAGTACGTGTATCTTCCGGGTTATGGCTTGGCTTGGGCTCAAGCCCCCTTTGGATATGCTCTCAGTCTGGTTGTGGGTGAGTGGTGTCACATCTCTCTCAGGATCACCATAAGGATTTAGTACTGTTTAATGAATAAAGATTTGGGGTCATTCTATGAACATTCCCATTGACGTTTAGGCTTCTTAGACAGAAAAAGCAATTAGTAATGAGTTATTAATGCAAATCTAGCCTTCCAACACCATAAGTGGTTTGTTCATCCCTATGACGGGGCTCTTTTAATTCTATCCAGATCAAATGTGTTTCCTGTTATCATTTTTACCAGATTAGTTTTTATTGTTGGTTGTTACCTGAAGTCTTCGTGCTCCCTCCTTGTCCCAGGTGGTTTATTTTTTGCAAAGCCCATGCGCTCACGCGGTTACGTCACCATGTTGGACCCATTCCAGCAGCTGTATGGGAAACGTATGGGTGGCCTGCTCTTCATACCCGCACTCATGGGGGAGATTTTCTGGTCTGCTGCCATCTTATCCGCCCTTGGTGAGTTGTTTTTTTTTTACCCCTCTGTGCTACAAAATGAAAATGTTTCTTGGCAAAGGATCACATTGTGGTAGGATTTATGAAGGAACAGTGACCATAGTGTCCTTTCATCTGTTCCTGACCTTAGGTGCTACCCTCAGCGTCATCGTGGACATCAACATTAAGATGTCAGTTGTTCTCTCTGCACTCATCGCAATCTTCTACACCCTGGTTGGAGGACTGTACTCTGTGGCTTACACCGATGTGGTGCAGCTCTTTTGTATCTTTGTTGGGCTGGTAAGTTCATGATGTTTTTAAATTAGTTTTTGTTATTTTTGGGGTTTGTCAAACAGCACAATTTATGATCTTGAAAGGTGCAACATTTTTTACAGCAAATGTAGTTCACTGGTCAAATTCATTTCAGTTAAATAACATTATAGAAGAAAAGTTTAAGGAACAATATTCATCACTTTGTACATGACTTCTTTAAAAATGTGTTCACGATGCTTATAAAAAAATGCTTATAAAAAAATACCATTTGTCCATTGTGTCTTTGATCCACATTTTTAGAGGGACATTCTTTGGAGTTAGACAAGCTTTTTAACTAATGTTCTTTTTATTGTGAATCTATGGCTGTGGCTTTTCCCCCTGAGAAGTTTAGTAAAACTTGTGTTTACTTTGTGTCTTGTCCACAGTGGATCAGTGTCCCCTTTGCTTTGACCAACCCTGCGGTATCAGACATCGCCGTTACTGCAGTGAAGCAGGTTTACCAGACACCCTGGAGGGGCAGCATCAACAAGAGTGATACCTGGATCTGGATTGACAACTTCTGCCTCCTGGTATGGTACCATTTATCAAATGCTTTATCGGAACTTTCTGAAACTCTTAGATAACGTCTTGAATTACCTGTTGAGATCGAACCATATGATAAGATTGAAACTTGACCAGTAACTAGTTTAGTTTTTTTAGGTAATTCAAGAACAACATGTCTGTAAAGTAGGATAACTTTACATTGGGATCTGATCACTGACAGATGACATAAAGATGTGTTGCATTCTGACAGCAACAATTCTATTAGGTCAGTGAACTGGTAACGGTTTTTGGTGGTATAGATTTGACGGGTCAAAACGTCTTTTGAAACATTTGTTTTGAAAATGTGCTAGCTGATGGTTGTTTGAAACATAGATATATAGTGTAGACCCAGAACTGTAAAAGTGGTTCATCCCTTGGTTGTCATGGATTATGAAGAATAATTGGTCAGGGTTATTGCTTAAGGCAATAATGACTCTTGGAGTTGTTTCTATTGAAGTTGAAATGAAGTAACCTCATATTGAAGACCCCGTTCCTCGACTGCTTTATTGTAAAGAGAATGTACTGCGTTGTCTCTGATGTTTAGCAATGAAAGATGTTGGGAAGATTTGATTTTCTTTGATTTTAGATTTTGAGAATGTTTTCCCTGGTTTCTAACTATGCAACAGATGCTGGGAGGGATACCCTGGCAAGTGTATTTCCAAAGAGTTCTCTCGGCCTCCTCTGCCACCTACGCACAGGTCCTCTCCTTCCTGGCGGCTTTCGGATGCCTCGTCATGGCTGTGCCCTCCGTTCTCATCGGGGCGATCGGAGCCTCCACAGGTGAGATACACGTGAGCTTGCACATGCACAATCCAAGAGTGTGGTGGTGTGTATGTTTGCTTTTGGGGGCAGGCTCCGGATGGGTCCATGTTGCCCTTAGATCTGAGAGAGCCTGGTAAATAGCAGCTGGTTCTGCTCATCCATAATGAAGTAGCAATCCGTTCAATAACCATGCTGGTTGTGTTAATATTACATTAGAAGGAGGCAAGGGACCAAATTAGTGTTCTGATCTCCAGATTTTCAGGCCTCAAATTCCACAGTGATCATGCAAATACATACCGGTAAAATCATGTGCTTTCACTTCAGAAATAAAACAACCAAAGTTTATTAGTGTTGAAACTTGTATTTACAAAAGTGAGGTTAAATTGGATTATTTTTTGTCCATCCAGTATCTGTAAAAATTGATTACTTCAAGCTAACAGTTGTAGATACCAAGAGCCCGAATAGACATTTCTAATGTTGCAATGTCATTTAAACATGACTGTGCATGTCTGGTGCTGTTTTTAGTATGAGCTTGAATGAAGGTGTTTGCTTAAATCCAACTGTGAAGTTAGTTTGTATATGGAGTGGTTTTTCCTCATTCTTTATGTTGACCGACTATTCTCCGCTTTCAGACTGGAACCAGACAAGTTATGGTCCCATTCCTCCAAAAGACAGGGAACAGGCTGACATGATCCTCCCCATCGTACTGCAACACCTCTGCCCACCGTTCGTCTCTTTTTTTGGTCTGGGCGCTGTTTCCGCGGCTGTCATGTCCTCGGCAGACTCCTCCATCCTTTCAGCTAGCTCCATGTTTGCCAGGAACATCTACCAGTTGGCGTTTAGGCAGTCTGTAAGTACAAGCGTCTTTTTGTGGTAACATTTAAATCGATTTTCTTATCGTTGTTCACGCTTTGCACGTTAGAGCATACTTAGATTGTTTTTTCCCCACTCCTCTCTTTCTTCTCAGGCATCCGATCGTGAAATTGTTTGGGTGATGCGAATCACCATCTTTGTATTCGGCGGTCTCGCTACTTGGATGGCTTTGGTAACGGGCACAGTTTACGGCCTCTGGTACCTGAGCTCAGATCTGGTTTATGTCATCATCTTCCCCCAGCTGCTCAGCGTTCTTTTTGTCAAAGGGACCAACACGTATGGCTCGGTGGCCGCGTACCTGTTCGGGATGGTGCTGCGTATAGGTGGGGGGGAACCCTACCTGTCTCTGCCCCCGTTCATTTACTACCCCGGCTGGACAACTGAGATGCAGAAGCATCACATCACTGGGGAAATGGAGGAGATTGTCAAGCAAAAGTTCCCCTTCAAGACCGTCTCCATGATAGCCTCCTTTTTGGCCAACTTTGCTTTCTCACACCTGGCAAAGTACCTGTTCGAGAGCGGTAAGATTTCCCACAAATACGACTTTCTCGACGCCGTGGTGTCCAGGCACAGCGGAGAGATAATGGATAAGACCACGCTGGTAACCCGCAGCAACAACATCGGGCTTTCAGAAATGGCGCCGGTCAAACCACGACTGAGTGTGACGTTGGCGGCCGCCTTCACACGTCGCGACACTCTGCCGACAGAAACAGTGGAGGAGGAAGAGGAGGAGTCCAGCCCCGACTCCCCCCACCATGACGAGTTACGATAAAGCTAAGATATCATTGAAATGAAAGAAAAAAAAAAAAGACTGGAAAAATTATGAAACTTCCGGGAAGCATCAGCAAGCAAACACTTGCCCTTTGGGACTACAAAGTACTTTGACATCTGGCTTGATTGGATAAGCGCCACTTGTCAGGATATATAGTGTAGCAGCTTGCTGATTATCCAGACAGGACGCTATATTTCTATGAAGTAAAGAGACACACTTACATGCACTCATAGCTCTTATAGAGAGCAAGTTGTTCTTCATATTCATCCTTTTTTTTGTTAGTTTTTTTGGATAGTCGTACGGATGTAAATTCTGTAATTCTCATTAAGTTATTAATAACTATGAAGAGGCAGACCGGATAAGTTATGTCATGATTGTCATTCAAGCAAAGGGAAAAAGACAAAAGAAAGTAAGCGACTGACAGCACAAACTACTATTCAGAAGAAGGGAACCAATAAGATACAAGCAATAACATATGTGGGCAGTTTAACAGATGTGCAGCAGTTGATTCTGTAGACTGTTAAAAAAAAGTGAGGTAAGTAAATGGGAAAAAAGTAAAACAATATAATCCACAGCTCCAATTCACAACATTTAACCATTCACAGGAGCACTCAAATAAATTAAGTGAAAATGAATTAAAACGGAAGGTAAATTTTCTTACATTTATTATTTATTTTGACTGACATGAATAAAATGACTGTGAATCCGAGCAGATACAACCCATACGTCATGCTACGTAGAAAATATACAAGCTTTAGGCAATGGTATTAGCTAATATTCTCTTTAATATCAGGTGTAGATGCAGTTTGAAGCATAGGAAACAGTGTGAGTTAGTGTTATTAAAGCTCTCGTATTCAACTGCCTTAATGATAATCATAAAAAGAGATATTTTATTGACGCAGTTCAGACCAAAGTCTGGTCAGACTGCGGTGAAAACACTTGAATATGAATGTAACCTCTAGAGAAAATCTTGTTGTTTTAAATGGTGTACTTCTGCTGGTTGAATTTTCCTGTTTCGCTGATTCTTACCCTTGCATAACGATGCGGGTACAGATGACATTTTCTGGATTATTTGCTGTCAGTAGCTGTGAAGAGATTCTTTTCTGTGTAATGTGTATATTTGTATCCATAGGAGGATAAAAACAAATGTTTGGAGGTTGAAAAAAAATGTTGGTTGTAACTATTCACATGAGGTGGAAAGAATCTTGTCTAGATGTTTATTTATTTTTGATGTCGCACAGAGGATAAAACAATAAAAAGTGACAATTATTCAGGAAAGTATGCAATGTTTTACTGTTTAAAGGAGACCAAACGTGCATTTTGTTTCAATTTTTGGCTGGTTTTCTTAAAGCATATGAATATTTTGGCCTTGCATGCTGCTGTTTTTTTCTTTTTTTCTTTTTGTTTTAATGGAGTCTTTATGGTTTGCAGACAAGCATCAGTTGATTTCTTTCTCTATTTATTTTTTTGCCATAGTTGAAACAAAATTGCGATCCCTCACTTTCATATTATTGTATTTTAATTATTCTGAATGGTGGCAGTTACACAGACAAAACCAAAGGAAGACATCTGACTGAATTGTGTTACAGATTTTCTTGATTTTCAACACATCTTTAAACATGTCCTTTGTTTTCTTGAGAAAAAGGCTGACGATGAAGTCGTGGGTCCAGTTCTCTCTTGTCCGTCAGGCCCTTTGGCTAGCCGGATGGTAGACTGAGAAAGGAACGTGGAAAACGTGACTGAAATTACAATCGCTCGGCTTGCATCTTTGTCCCCTTCTTGTCCACGGTGAAAGACGATGTCTTAAAATAGCTCCTCTCTGGTTATTTACTTTAAGTGCTGTACTCTCTCTGGTCTGGGGCTCTGGGAGGGGCCAGGATGGGGTAGGTGGGGCCGTTGGTGGTCAGCCATAGAGAAATAGACGGACATAGGGGTAAGAACATGCTGGAGAGCTCGCTGGCGCATATTGTTAAAAAAAAATAAAAATCACCACTCCCAATGAGCCAGAATGACGCAGGTGCCCCACCCATGGACTGCACCCCCTCCCTCCATCACCACCGACCTCTTTGACGTCCTTGAGGGCTTAGACCAATCCCATAAAGAGAAGAAAGGGTGGAGGAAGAGACAGAGTCCCATCTCCATTCATCGAGAGTGCCTCTAAGAGCACTCATGATAATTAACAATTATGAAACAAAACTGTCGCTTGTCCAAAAGTCAATCCATTTATTTGGGTCTTTATGGGAGGAGATGGTAGGGGAGAGGGTTGGGCTTAAGACTTTCTTATAGAGAATGTTTTAAAGCAGAGTCATTCACAGCCCTGAGCTATAGTTAGAATGTCCCGATGAAAATTATGGATGGTTTGTATTGATCTTTACCTTGAATTTGTATTTTTGATTAAACGATTTTCGGACTTTAGCTTCGATAGACAATGTTAAAAACATCCCCTTGTTCAGAGACACTCTCCAAGCCAACATGATAAACTCAAGGCTGTTCGGAAAATTAAAAAAAAATTTAAACAAATTGAGAATTATAGAGATAAAACTGGGTCGATGGGAGGCTGAAAGATGTTCTCTGCTTTTAATCTGATTCAGCTGTCTTTTCTGGCTTCGTCCTGGCGTTATTTTCCCAGAGCGATATCTAGAGATATACATTTATTCTGGGAATCAAGGTCAAAGGTAAATGTGTTTACTGAGAGATCAGATATACATCAACTTGGCTGCTCAAGACAAGCTGGCCGACTAGGTAAAGACTGTGCTTGTAAATGACGATTTTGGATTCAGCTTGTGAATAGATGCTCTTATAGAAAAGAAAAATTGCACTTCTTTCTTAGACAATCTCCATTGTAGCTGGCACACAAGGCTAGTTAAAATATCCACAGAAACATCTCAACCACCAAAATTTAGTGCAATTTCAGCACACGAAACAATTAAAAACTTTACAGCTTTAAGATTATATGACAAGACCAGAATATTCTCAATATGATATGTTCAAAACATGATGTTGATATTTCACGTTAGCATTCTGATTCATTCAAGGTGAGTCTTAGCCTTAGTATCTGTTATGCTCCCAGGTGGAGAAAAAATGCAAAGCGCTGCCAGTAGTCTCTGCGTCTCGTCATATCTCATCTAAAGCTGATGCCCCTCCATCATGTGGGCAGGCTATTTCTGTCCTTCTTAACTAATGTCCCCAGTAATTTAATTCCAAGCCAGTTACTTGAAACATGGAAATGGGGTGGGGAGTAGATGATGCAAAATGGAGAAAGAATTTAATGATAATATGAGTTTTATATGAAAGAAAGAAAAAATCTTTTTTTTTTTCATTTGTTGATTGAACCTTTTTTTCAATGAACAACCCTCAGAAATGTACGTTGACACACACACAGACACAGAAAACACACCGTGCGATAACGTCATGTCTAATTGTTTCCAACATATCTCTCCATCTCCTCCATTAGTCCCTCCAAGCAGCTGAGGAGCATCTATGGCAAGATGAATGCAGTGGCTTCTCTAATCAAATCAGCCAAGAGAACCTAATTATAGAGCCAGCTCTTTTCCACTTGGATCAGCTGCAGGTACACTGTCTGGAGGAATGAGACAAGCTCTGTATTCGGCAATCCCACCAATTCCTAATGAGCACGAGCCATGAATCAGCTCCGCTGAGGGAGAGTCAGAGCTGGAGGTGCTCGGGTCCGGTGAGACTGGATAACACAAGTGGTGTCGAGCTGTCTCCTCCAATAGACTGATGAGAATCAGACTCTTCCAAGCCATTGAGGTGAGCTTTGTAGAGAGTTCAAATGGGGAAAAAATACAGCAACAAAAAGAAATCTGTTGCAGTCTGTTCAAATCCAAGTTTTCTCTCTCATTATAACAATACAGCTATCCTGCATGGAGATGTAGCTGCTATCTCCTCAGCTTCACTCTATAATGCATCTCTATTTTGTGCGTTTTCCAGATGAATAAATATATCAAATTTGGGGTTGTTACAAAACAGAGAAAGTGCGCATCCATCATTTTGCTGAATTTTGCTGCATGAATTTATGGTGATACAAATCTTTACAGTAATGATTTACAGCTGGAACTTATTAGGCGCACACAATTTATTTGCCATGTGAAACTTGAATGCTGCAAAAATTGATAGAAAACATGGTAAATAAATCTACTTCCACATGCCAGCCTGTCTTTCTGGTTAGTTGCTGTTACTTTGTAACACAGCCCATTTCCCTCAGCCCATTTCTTTTCTTTAGACAGGAAGGAGGAGGCATTTTGGACGGACTGATTTTTTTTCCCCATCCCATTGAAAGTCAGTGGAGAGAAAAATCTAATGGTCATGCACACAGTCATACACTCACGGAGAAAAGGACACATTATCCCCTGAGGACCTGTTCAGCCGCTGAATGAAGAATGAAAGTCTATGTCAACCGTACACATGAAAACACACACAGGGACCCTGGTGAGGATACTGATGTGGTGTTGAGATTAGAATGATACTTTTATAGTTTAATATTTACAGCTACAAGCTCAAATGATGGTTTCTGCCAGTGTGATATTTTAAAGTCTCACAAATCATATAAAAAATGGTTTTAGTGTTTCTCCAATTTACAGCATTTGCTAAACTGATACAGTGCTGCAGCGATGAGAACCAAAAACGGCGAAGCACACAACAAAAAGCAAAGGACAAAGACTGGAGAAAAATTGTACAGAGGGCCTCTTAGCTCATCACGATGCGTGAGCATCAAGCCCCACCCCGTCTTATGTCATGTACTCATTTATATGTGTGTGTTTGAGTGTCTTCAGTATCAGAATCAGAGCCCTGGGTTGAGTCTGAGCCAGGAGATCCATTAGCGCTGATTGAGGAGCACAAGGGTGCAGATTTAACCCTGAGAGAAGGTGACAAGAACACACATTCTTTCACTTAGACACACACACACACACACACACACACGTACACACAAAGCCTGTTCCGGTCACATAAAGTATAGGTACAGATCGATTTAGATGTGTAACATAATAAACATGCACACAAAGGTGTTTATAGGAACATATGTCTGGATCACATTGATGCACTCACATACTTTAAGCATAAAACTTATCATTTGTTACATTTTGGGATACATGACATGATTCAGTGCAGGATGTGTTGAATTTTATCAAAGTCCCTTCAGGAACAGTTATTTCATAGTCTACCTCACAGAAAATAAAAAATGAATTATGCTTTAACAATGAAAATCATCAGAAAATGGACAGACACAGACACACAATCCAACTGTTTCCTGAGCAACAAAACCTGACACATGCTGTGCTTTATCAATGGGTAAATAATAGCCTTTCAACAATACTTTAAAAATCCATCAAATTAAATGTTTCAGAACTTTTACGATTTAGAGCCCAAATTATTGAGAATGTTTTGAAACGTTTAAAAAAAGGACCTCGGTTTGGTTTATTTTGGTGTGTTAGTTTGTGTAGAAAGCTTTACAATAGCCTGTGTGGCATCTGAAAGAATGAGGTTGAAAATCCTCTCTAACATCTCAAAAATACACCTGAAAATCATAATTTTTTACAAAGCACACAATAGGAACCAAATTCTGATACTGGATCTGTTTAGGCTTTTTTGACGGGGAAATTAAATGAATAAAATTCTTATCATGAGATGGATGAGGATTGGCTCCTATTTATTTAAGGTTCTCAACTGGAAAAAGTCTCTTATTCAGGACTGACTGAGGGACTAATTTGCAGTCAGGCAGAAGTTGCTCCAGTCCAATGTGTTGAAGAAGGCTCTTTGTTTCTGAAAATTGTCTTGCTGTTCATAAAAATCCCTAAAGTCAGAACATGCCATCTATAATATGTGTATGACTCCAAACGTCTCAGCCAAAAAGTACAGTGTCACATTAATAGATGCCACTGAGAACAACATTATGCAACTAATAAATCTGTTACCATTAATTGTGTTGCCTCACATTTATCCGGTCGGTGAAGTGGTTGATGAGCTAAACTTTTTACCTTCTTTCATCCATTCATCATCAGCCAGCCTGCAAAAAGTATGAACTTCTCTTCTCACAGCAGTGACACACTGGTGGTCCAGATGTGACGGAGGATGGCAATCTAGTGTGCAGGAGGGGAGAAATATTATATAAGAAAGGTCTACTAAGGAGTCTGTGATACAGCTGTGTGTTGGACTTTGTGGGACGAGAGCATGTTTCAGATTAAG